AAAACTAAAGAAAAATGTTCCAGTTATTTTTAAATTTCTCATTTTACCAAGCATAGTACACAATGTGATTTTTAAAGACAATTGCAAGATTTCTACCAACTACTTGACAGGGGTGACATCTTTGCTCCTTCAGAAGCAATTAAATGGATGAATAAAACATAACCAAATTGAAATAAAGATGAATATCCAAATGCTAGAAATGGAACAAGGAAACAAGGAAACGAAGTTAAAATAAGATTGATATTTTGAGCATTAGGGTGTTTGGCAAAGATGAATTGACTGATAAATCATCTAAATGGGGGTGGGTGTATAAGGATAAAATAGATGCATGCTGTAATTAAAATATGGGATTTCCTTTTTACAGATAACTCTGAAACAACTACTCTCATTTTAGTAGTTCTCTCTCTTTAACTTAAATACTTAAGTTAAAAATACTTAAGAAAAACACGAGCTGCAGAGAACAAAACCAAACCATTAGCTTCCTAGCAAGCCTGATTGGGGTATCATTAACATATGAAAAATAAAAGCTCCTGGTTTGTGGTTTTTATCTTCTAAGGGTCAACTCTAATTTTCTCTGCCTACAACTGCACAGCCTGTAGGGTGTTTGCCTTGCATGCCACAGACCCTGGTTTGATTTCCCCTCTCTCTCGGAGAGCCCAGCAAGCTACCAAGAGTATCCTGCCCACACGGCAGAGTCTGGCAAGCTCCCCGTGGTGTATTCAATATACCAAAACCAGTAACAAGTCTCACAATGTAGACGTTACTGGTGCCCACTTGAGCAACTCGATGAACAATGGGAGGACAGTGTTACAGTGCTACTCTTAAACCCAAGGTTATTTAGATGACAGAAAATAGCAAATATATGGGTACACCAATTAAATATTGACCCTGTAGAGAAATGTAATCATGATTAAATTCTCTTTGGAGGGGTGAGCTTGGCATGTTAAGCACAGTGGAGATTTAATTATCAAACAGCAACTATGGGACAGGGGAGGAAGGAGGCATGATCAGATTTAAATTCTCTATCTCATTAAAGATGAAGACAAAAAAAATGCTGGTTAATAAAATTACACCACCTACCATGATACCACTGGTCCTTGGGGAGGTAGTTACTTAAAATTTTTATTTCACTAAAATCCAGGAAAGGAAATAAATTGAAGAGGAGAGTAAGAAGAGTTGGACAGGAAGTAATGGGGTCAGGGTCAGGAGCCTAAGGCACATATGGACTGTGCAGAGGTAAGGGACATGCATATATCTAAAATACAGCGCCAACAACATGTAAGCATGAGACCAAACTACAATCACAAAATTTAAAAATTCTCCTTCCAAGGAGATGGGACATGTGGTTGGATTTTTGGAGACACAGGTGAAAGGAAGTTGACACTGCTGGTAGGATTGGTGCTGACATATTGAATGCCTGAAACCCTATCTTGAACAACTCTATAAATAATGATGCCTTAGTAACAATAATTATGATACCAATAATAATGATAATGATAAAGCAATAGCATGAGGGCTCAGGGATAGTGGGTGGTAGATAACGATGGTGTCTTGTGAGCATGCAGCCTGAGTGTGATGACAAGGAACACACAGCACTGCCACAAAGTGTCCTCATTCTAACAAACACCATAATTCTGGGATCCTCACAGTCATCACAAAAGCCACAACTAATAAGTAACGTTTACAATTCAATTCCCACAGGTGCCAGAGTGGTAGTGTAAGAATTGAGACTTTTACTTGGCATCTTGTTGACACCCAGCTCTGCACTCAGGAATTACTCCTGGTGGTGCTTGGGGGACGACATGGCAATGTCGGAGATTGAACCCAGGTCAGCTGCATGCAAGACAAACTCCATACTCGCTGTACTATTGCTCTGACCCCAAGCCTATCAACTTGTTTTTCACATCTTTTATTTTTTATGAAATCACTGTGAGATACAGTTACAAAGCTTTCATGTTTGAGTTCAGTCATATAATGATCAAACAACTATCCTTCCACCAGTGCACATTTTCACCACCAATGTTCCGAGTATCCCTCCCCCTGCCCCCCCCACACACATCCCAACCTCTATGGCAGACAATTTTCCCCATACTCTCTCTCTACTTTGGGGCATTATGGTTTGCAATATAGATACTGAGAGGTTATCATGTTTGGTCCCTTATCTACTTTTAGCACACATCTCCCTTCCAGAACTATCCTACTTTTGTATCCCCACATCCTCTGACTCTAAACTTCATGACCATCAAGACTCTACCAACAACTTTCAGACCCAATGCTCTGTGTTTAGGATTTGCACCTTTCATCTTTCCCCTTCCCTGGAAATTTTATCCACATGTGTACATGTAGTTTTGGGTTCCTACCAGGCCAGGCTAGAAGACGCTGGCCTCCACTTCAACATTTGACTTGGTTCAGATGTTTATCCATTCTCCCAGGTGGGATTTCTCATTATAATACTCACTTTCTAGCTTTTTAAAATTCCTCCAAACTGGGATAAATGGGATGAACTTGCTGGGATAGTTTTAATGTTGGGTGCCTATTGGGAGTTTCCCTTGGTTTACAAATTCCTCAATATCCATACACCAAAAGCCTATTTCAACACTTTCCATTTCTACTACATTCACTTCATTTTCACCATCTTCCCCACATTCACTACCCAACACCTGCCCAGTTGAATCACTTGACTTTCCTCACCTGTCATTGTATCACTGTCATCCTGTTGTTCATAGATTTCCTCGAGCAGGCACCAGTAACGTGTCCATTCATCCTGGTCCTGAGATTTTAGCAAATGCCACTTTGGAGGCTCTTTCAGGGTCAAGGGAATGTGACCCACCATTGTTACTGGGTTTTGGCATATCAGATACACCACAGGGAGCTTGCCAGACTCTGCCATATTTCTCACCTTTAAAAATATATTTTAGTGACTTTGATATCAATATGAGATTTTTAAGAACCAAGGTGAAAGATGAAAAAGCAAGATATTGGAAAGAATTGGGGTCAACTGACATACCATCATTTATGTATCTCTATCATATTTTTTAACATAATTTTTTTTACAAAAAACCCAGGTTATTTGGAGCAGCAGCCTGTAGAATCATAAAACAGTAGGAGCAAACACTTTAAATTTTGACTTTCACTTTAAATTTTGGCTGTGTACTAGGAAAGAGTGAGACATTCCAGGGTCAACAGCAATTGGGGAGTCAGAAGTGACGGGTATAAGTATAGGAGGAAAATGCTATAGGCCAGGAAGGATACATCTCCTCTTTGAGACCAGGAGCTACAGCAGGAGAGGAGGGACAAAACACTTCCCACTATCTATCTTTCCACTTTTTTATCTCTAACAGTTACTTCCCGTTAGGATGCCAAGTTTGGCTGGAACTCATTCATCAAAGAAAGGGATTGGTGAGCCCTCTGTGAGAGAAAAGGAGTATGTCAGCAAAACAGAGAACTAAATCAGCTTAATTCTGTTTGAAATCTAGTTAGAAATAATGTAACTATTTTTCAATTTCAGCAATATTTTTTCCTTGTTTTTTTTCTGATCTCTTTTTTCTTTATCTTTGTGGGTCACACCCAGCGATGCTCAGGGGTTACTACTCCTGGCTCTGCACTCAGGAATTACTCCTGGCAGTGCTCGGGGACCATATGGGATGCCGGAGATTGAACCCTGGTTGGCTGCGTGCAAGGCAAACACTCTATCTGCTGTATTATCACTCCAGCCCCTATTCTGATCTCTTTTATACCCATTATTATTGAACACAATTCTAACAAAACCTAAGTTGACAGTTTTTATAAGCAATCATATTATTATGATTTTAGTTTATTGATTTTTCTGGTTTGTGGGTCACATACACCAACTATGTATGTGTATGTGTATGCCAAACAGGGCTCCGGGAGCCAAAGACCTCCAGGACCAGCCACCACCATGCTGAGACCACTCTCCGCACACATGAAGGTACTGGCAGAGGGACAAAGTCACGCGGGTTCCGGAGCCGAGATCTCCAAGCCTACTCGGATTTGGGCCGGGCATCCTCCACCCAGATCCCCCAAATTCCAGTAGGCGGGGGTCACACCCACCAACTGGCCCCCTGGCGCTGTGTAATACCATCAGCAGCCAAGACACAGAGACTATAAAAACCAGATCCCGGAAGAGAAGAGTGCAGTCTTCTTTCTGCCCCCGCACCTGACTATCCTCAATCGCCGGGACCCCTTGGAGGGGAGTGGGTTGAGCTTTCCTCCCCGCCCCGACCAGGGCTCCGGCAGCCAAAGACCTCCAGGACCAGCCACCACCATGCTGAGACCACTCTCCGCACACATGAAGGTACTGGCAGAGGAACAAAGTCACGTGGGTTCCGGGGCCGAGATCTCCAAGCCTACTCGGATTGGGGCCGGGCATCCTCCACCAAGATCCTCCAAATTCCAGTAGGCAGGGGTCACACCCACCAACTGGCCGTGTAATCCCATCAACGGCCAAGACTCAGAGACTATAAAAATCAGCTCCTGGAACCACGTGGCCATAGGACATCTTATTATCTCATTCCTACTTTGGACAAACTGGCAGGTTACCGAATGTAGCCTTCCCACAGGGCAGAGTCTGGCAAACTCCCCTTGGCGTACCCAATATGCCAAATACCAGTAACAATGATGGGTCTCATTCTCCTAAAGAGCCTTGAATATAATCTCAGGGCTAGGATGAAGGAGACGTTACTGGGGCCTGCTCGAGGCAATTGACGAATAACAGGATGATTTGTGATTGTGATTTTTTTGTGGGTCACATCCAGCAGAGCTCCAGACACACTCCTGGTGGTGTTAGGGGTTGAACCTGGATCAGCCACATGTGAGGCAAACACCTTATCCACTGTATATCACTCCAGCCCCCATGATTTTAGTAAACTATGTTCAGTTACTTTTTGCAATACTCATGCTACATCTACTTGGTTATCAGCGTTTTGCAAAAGTTTCTATAGCTGAAAAAAATTGTAAAGAAGAATACAAAGATTCTATGATGAGGTGTAAAATAATATATTTTGATATTTATATATTTGCATGACAGGATAATTTATTGCTTGAGTTTTAGAAATAATCTAATTTCAACTCTCACTGTACTACAAATGGACTTTTTAAGAGTCTCTGAATTAACAGTAAACTACAGATTAATTCTCACCAGTTTGTAAATAAAATCACTGTCCTGTCACTGATCATCGATTTGCTCGAGTGGGCCCAGTAACATTGTGAGACTTGTTACTGTGTTTGGCATATGGAATACGTCACGGGTAGCTTGCCAGGCTTTGCCGTGTGGGCGAGATACTCTTGGTAGCTTGCTGGACTCTCCAAGAGGGGTGGAGGAATCGAACTCAGGTTGACCATGTTGGCTGCATGCAAGACAAATGCCCTACCACTGTGCTATCGCTCCAGCCCTGTAAATATAATATGCAACTATATATTTATCAAATATAAATATATGCATAAGTATGTATAACTATACAGATAAAATATTTGTTTGTATTAAAAGTTTATAAAATGTATAATAAAAATGTTAAATAATTTTTTCTACAGTATCCTAAGAACAACAATCATTAACCCAGAAAGATACATGCACACAATATTCATTGCAGTGCTGAAATAATTAAGATCGGGAAATAGCCTAAGCATTCAACAGCAGGTAGTGATAAAGAAGATCTGATATAGAGACACACAATTGAATATTATTCAGTTTTAAGAAAAGATGAGAATTTGCCATTTACTTTAACTTGGATGGAATTAGAAATCACGTTAAGCAATGTAAGTCAGGGGGAGAAGGATGGATTCTAGATGATCTCATTCATATGTTGTATATAAGGAAACAAAGCAAGAGAATAAAAGCATTTAATGGCGACAAATCCTCTAATTATATAAAAGTGACATACCAACTGGTATAGAGAAGTCAGGTTGTGAAAAGGAAGATACAGTCCAGAAGTAACATAAGGATGGTGGTGGGGGATCTTTAGTACTTTTGGGATATTGGAAATCCATAACTTTTTACACTAAAAGCTTAAATGTTAGCACTACTACTATAGTGATGGCCCAAAAAAGAATAAAGCACAAAAAAGCATAAATTTGAAAAGAATGCAAATAATTAATATAAAGTGGTAAATTCAGTCATCGCATCATGCGATGACTGGAATGGGAAGGAATGGGAGTGAAGATAGATGGTTGGCAACTACACCACCTCCGCTTTGCTGATGACATTGTTTTAATAACACCAAACATCAGCCAAGTGGCACAAATGCTGGTCGACTTCGACCGTGAGTGTGGAAAGGTAGGACTACAGCTGAATCTTACGAAGACAATGTTTATGAGAAACAGCCTTGCTCCTGATGCCCCATTCGCTCTCAACGGAACGACCATCTCCGAATGCAACAGCTATGTGTACCTAGGTCGAGAAGTCAACATGACAAATGACCTGGCACCCGAGCTGCGCAGGAGGAAGGGAGCAGCTTGGAATGCCTTCAAGAGTGTCGAAGAAATAGCTAAGAGGACGAAGAACCTCCGGCTCTGGGCACATCTCTTTGATTCCACTGTTCTCCCTGCATTAACATACGCCTCAGAGACCTGGGCCCAACGCAAACAGGATGAGAACGCTATTGGGGTCTCCCAAAGAGGAATCGAAAGAGCTATGCTTGGAATATCACATGTCACTCAAATGAGAGAAAGAATCCGGAGTTCTGACCTCCGTCGACGATCATGATCAAGAATCAGGGACGCTGTCTCATTTGCCAAGGTGTCAAAAATCAGATGGGCTGGTCACGTAATGAGATTTAGAGACAACCTCTGGACTAGAGCCATTACCGACTGGATTCCATGGGATGTCAAAAGACCGCGTGGCCGCCCACCTACCAGATGGTCAGACTTCTTCATCAAGATCATGAACGATCTGTTTGAGGCTCTTCGTGTTCCTAGAGCTAACAGACGCCATTGGGCCACACTAGCACGCGACAGGGACAAATGGAGACGTTACTGGCACCCACTCAAGCAAATCGACAATTGACGGGAAGTCAAGTGATCAAGTGAAAGTAGTAAAGTCATCATAGAGTCAAAATTAAATTAATCGGCAAATCTAAGTATATGTATATTTAATTAAAATGTTTATAATTCCAACTATGTTAAAATGCACTAACAAAAATTGATAGTTGACTTTTATGTGTATAAAAATATTATGGTGATTTACTACTTAATTTTATTTAATGTCTATTTTCCACACTATACAAATTCTCTTCAGTAAAAATGACAATATTTTAAGTTATATATCACAAAGGAGCATCAAGTATATTGCTTGGTTTTCAAATTTTTTTCTCATGAGATGATAATAAAAATGAACAGATATTGTGTAATATAACATTAATATGTCAAACTAAAGATGATTTTCCCACTAAGAATACAAAAAATATGGGTACATGCATATATGTAAAACTATACACACATACATGCATACATAGGTTTACTAAAAAGATGAGTCAATGCTTGTAGTAAATACACAAAAACTATTTGTAAAAGAGATTAGATACCCCCACTACAATCCTAAGAATGCAACACAACAATCTAAAATTTTAAAAATCCAATTAAATGCTCTGGTTACTCCCAGTACTTTGAAAAGACATGTTTCAACTGCTTTACTCATGCGCATATGTTCCCTTGTAAGTAAAGAGAATTCTAGAAGATTTCCAGAGAAGACTCTGGTGATGCCCTAATCAACTTAAACTGGGTTAGCAATCTTGTGGCCTATGGCTGTAGGTTACATCCTTCTGTATGTTAGCAAGACTATTTTTTAATAAATGTTATGCTCCAAAAACATCATCCTTTCATATATTTTTCTTGTGGTCTTATATCCTCTGAACCCAGGATCTGGTACTTCCAGTCACTTTTAGGAAGTGTTGCTATCTTTATCATGAATTTTCTATCACCCTTCAATTTAACAATGTATTTGGTAACCAACTAAATATACAAAATATAGTTGATGCTGATGGCAACAAAATTTTAATTTATATATCCTACTAATTATTCATAGCGCATAGTGCATATGACACACAACAACAAAGAATTAGTAGACATGAGGTTTTAAGGGTCGTCTGAATAAGGTAACAGTCTCCATCTCATAGCTGTGTCAACTTCATCGAGTTCTCCCAGCTGCTGCTCCTTGGAAAGCTCTTCGAAGACCTAAATAGGAGGTGAAGAAGAAGGAAACAAGAATGACCAAGTTTCCTTTTGTCTTCCCGATCACAAGGGAACATACAGGTCACTTTTCTCTGACACAGCAAGGATGCAAACCCAGTAAAACTTACTCACCTTGTCCAGGGTGCATTGAGAGAGGCTGTACTCATCCAGGTTCATTTTATGTTTTGCTGAAATCAAAAAGATTTGTCATTGATGCTTATAATTTATCAGCAAGGATTTTTTTCTATGTTGTAGAAATCAAAATATGGATCATTAATACACATTGAATTTAAGTCTGGGGAAACAAATACTTGGAAAAAGGGAATAATGGAATGAAAAATTAGAGTTAATATAATTGCATAGGAGAATTTTCTCATTTTATGTTGATGTTTATATGTTCATGTATCTTGGAGATAAAGCTTCTGAGTAAGTACTGTAGCACTGCCCTCCCATTGTTCATCAATTTGCTTGAGCAGGTAACTATTAAATCTATTAATCTACTGATTAATAGATTCTTATACATGAGGAAGATTTCAATTTCATTCTTCCCTTTTAAAAGGACCCAACCCATCTTTTTTTTTTCTTTTTGGGTCACATCTGGCGATGCACAAGGGTTACTTACTCCTGGCTATGACTCAGGAATTACTCCTGGCGGTGCTCAGAGAACCATACAGGATGCTGGGAATCGAACCCAGGTAGGCCGTGTGCAAGGCAAACACCCTACCTGCTGTACTATCGCTCAAGCCCGATCCAACCCATCTTTGTAAGGTACTTCAACCAGCTTATCTGCTGTACCATCTCCGGTCCCCAGGCTTCCCCACCAGATTACCAGATTATCTGTATGAGGTGAGTCACTGGAGATATGTATTTATGGTTCAGTATTTATATCTTGAAAATCCTCTGGCATGAGCTACTTTTAGGTAGGACAATAAAAAACACAGGAGAAAACCAATTCTCTGCATTTGTATTGCATACGTTCTAGTGGGAAGGGTACTGGTATTAAATAAATAAGCACTGAATCACATAATTAATGATGTTATCTACTATGGAGAAAAAAATGAATCAAGTTCAAGAATACATTATTTAACAGAAGAATTGTGGAAAGCTGAGATATAAACTGAGCAGAAATTAGAAAGAAGTTAGGGTGTTGCTGGATATCTAGTAATATCAGGCAGAAAGAAGCAAATACTTAGTCCTGCAGTAGAAGAATATCTCTGGGATGAATTTAGGAAGAATAGGGAGTTCGGGAAGTCTATTGAAGGAGCAAGTCAGAGATTTCTAAACTCTCAATCAAACACAACCAGGTAGGGACTGTACAAATGCACCTATTTGATGTTCCTAAGGCCCCTTCCAGGTAACACCGAAATTTTCTAATATTGTAGAAATGGATTATGTAGGGCTGGAGAGATGAGCAGGTTAAGGCCACCCCTGCTTATTTGCGTTGCACGTGGCCGACCTGGGTTTGATTCCCAGCATCACTTATGGTTCCCCTGAGCACCGCCAGGAATAACTCCTGAGTGCAGAGTCAGGAGTAACCCCTGTGTATGGCCAGGTGTGACCCAAAGAGAAAAAAAGGAAATGAATTATGTGTACATGAAGGGATTGAAGTCTAGCCTTGTTAATGGCATAATATGAAGACTCCTAGCTAGTGAGAATGACTCTCTGAAAATCTACAAGGACTAGGCTTAGAGTTTGAGCTTTTGGCCTTTAGTCTGTTATCAGACTTTGCACTGGGAATATCTGCAACTGGGAATGACCTACTTAAAAGTGGAAAAATGAGAATGAAGAAAAGGAAAGAACCATTAAAAGGGGGCAAGAAGCATTACATGAAAAGCAGGGGTGGCCTTAACCTGCTCATTCATTGTTCATTGTCACACAAAAGCAGAGCTCAGGACAGAGGGGAGAAGGTCTTCCATTGCCTTTATTTTATTAGTGGGGAGTCAAGCAGGGGTACTGGTTGAGTAGGGGGGAATAAGAGGAGAATGGACATGGAAGAGAGCGGGAGGGAATAATAACTCATGGCGTATATGAATTTATCCTGCAAACCAAGCAGGGGCCTTCCTGGATCTATGTTGTGAATCGACTGCAAAGACAGGCAAGTATATGCATTGGTTTCTGCAACTTTCCTTCCCACACTGGAGATGAACACTTTCCAGAGAGTTGGATTAACTAAAAATTGGGGTAAAATCCCACCAGGAGAATTCTTAGAATCACCAGTTTGTAGAAAAATGATACTTTGTAATTATCTCCCATTAATTACAATCCCACTGAATGAGATTCCTTCTAAGTAGGGATTTATTATTTGAAAGCTCATTTGTATTCATTCATTTGTTTTGTGGATCAGGCCTTACTGCTGGCTCTGTGTTTAGGGATTATGCCTGTCAGGGCTCGGGGATGGTATGGAATGACAGTAATTGAACCCAGGTCAACCAAGCCAAAGGCTTTACTCAACTTCTCCAGCCTGAAAGTTTATTTTTAAATGGCCAATCTTACCAGCTTCTAATTTGTGAAAAGCCTGAGACAGCGGATGAACATCCATCATGGGCAGTTTATAGGTCAGGAAGGAAGAATACCTGAGAATAAGAAAATGTCATATTTGAGTTCGCGTTTCAAAGGTGAAAAAAAAAATGACCATCAAAATAAATATTGGCAAGATCAGCAATTTCCTTTTTAAAGTAAAAGTCATGCAAATTAATATATTACTTAGATATGAAATTTATAAATTATTTATCAAGGGACAATTTTTTTTTTTTTTTTGCTTTTTTGGGTCACACCCAGCGATGCACAGGAGTTACTCCTGGTTCATGCACTCAGGAATCTCTCCTGGCGGTGCTCGGGGGACCATATGGGATGCTGGGAATCAAACCTGGGTCTGCTGCGTGCAAGGCAAATGCCCTACCCGCTGTGCTATATTGCTCCAGCCCCATCAAGGGACAATTTTTAAAATGGCCTTGGTTCAGTTTAATTCCATTAATGGTCACACAAACATTTTTCTGGTTGACCAAAGTCTGCTGAATTAATATGTTCAGTTAGTTCAAATTTGATTAACTAACCCCAGACTTCCAGTTTAACATTTCATCTGTACAACCAGAAGGCTAAAACAAAACAAAACAAACCAGAGATATGAGGTTGGGAGAGAAGGATTCAAAAGGCTCTAGTTAAAAACTAAAATAATCACTGATCTCTGAGAAGAGCCAGACTAATATTTGGCAGTTTGTTCCCCTGTGCTCCTTCTACCTTCCTGACTTCATGCTCCATCCTCAATTCATCTCCAATTTTATGCTCTCAGAGGACCCTAGAGGTGTCTAGAGGCCCTAGAGGTCTCCAGAGGAACCCTCTTCAATTCAGTCCCTTTATTGTTGGGGGTGCAGAGAGGAGGGGATCATATCCTGCAATACTTAGGGGTTACTCCTGGATCTATACTCAGAAATTACTTTTGGCGGTGCTCAGGGAACCATCCAGGATGATGAGGTTCGAACTTGAGCTGGCTGCATGCAAGGCAAACATCCTTTCTGCTGTACTGTTGCTCTGACCCTCCACTCGTCATTATAATTCAACATTTAGTATTCACGATTTTTCCACCTTCACCAAAACTATTTCTTGTTTTGCAACTTAAAAAGTTGGGAGGAGGATAGTATTACACACTTACACCTTTGATGATTCCACTAAACTTATACTGCTAAAATGAAAACACCAGTTGCTATGCTGTGGTTTTTTGGCATGTTTATCTCTTCAAAGGAACTAAAAATCCGTTTGTGTTTCACTTCCTTTTCGTTCCCCAAAGATACAGGGACACATCTCTTAAATTGTAAACAAATATTTAAATATTCATATAATATTCATATAATATTTTAATAGAATATAAAATATTCATTTAATAATTACATCTTTTAAATTATAAACAAATATTTAAATATTCATGTTCTTTAGGTATTTTCAGGAAGGCCGAGAAAGAGCACTACAGACCTGGTTGGGGTCACACATGAATTCAGTCATCAAAAGGTACTTTCCTTTAATTTTTTCCAATTACTCTGTGTTTTGGGAACCATATCCAGCAGTGTTCAGGGCTTATTCCTGGCTCTGCACTCAGGAATTACCTCAGAGGACCATCTGGGGTGCTAGGGATTGAACCCAGGTTAGTGGTATGCAAAGCAAGCACCTAGCCAGCTGTACTATCACTCTGACCCCCAAATCAAATCCATTTTAAGATCCTAACTTTCATTATGAAATAAAATTACCCTGCCATCTCAAAGAACACCCCCTGACCACCAAAATATTGACTTAGAAAATCTCCATGTTTCTCTATAATGCAAAGCTCCTTTTACCTTTGTTGCTGGGCAGCCTGTGGGAAAAGTTTCAGAATCTCTGTATGGACTGAAGCCATCTGAGAAGTTTCTTTCACTTTGAGTTCTAGGATGTAATCTTTGCCAAATTTACTCTTCAGGTGTTGGATAGAGCCAATGCATCTAGAAGTCAGAAGGAAGACAGTCTGTCAAAAAGTATTCTTCCTTAAACCTTTTTGTTTCTTTTGGAGGTCACATTAGAGAGTGCTCAGGGTTGACTCCTGGCTCTGTGCTCATAGATCACTCTTGACAGGGGCTTGGGAGATGGGATGCCAGGGACCGAAACCTTGTTGGTCATATGGAAGGCAAATGCTCTTCTGACTGTGTGATGGCTCCAGCCCCATCCCTTGAACCTTATGTCATTTAAAACTTCAAATATAGTTTGGAGAAGGTCATCACCTTGGTAGAGCAAAGGAAAGAGTCTAATTATTGACAATTATTTTGTCTTTAATGCGGGAAATCTCAATTTTGGGGGGGCCACACCCAGTGATGCTCAGGGGTTACTATGGGTTACAAGGGATTGAACCCGGGTCAGCCGTGTGAAAGGCAAATGCCCTATCCACTATACTATCTCTCTCTCTCCACACGGTATATCATTTTTGGAATCAAGAATAAACTCTGAGTAGGCACATACCTAAGTTTTCCTGACACCATGATGGCGATACGGTCACACAGGGCTTCGGCCTCAGCCAGGTAATGTGTAATCAAGAGGGCCCCCTTCCCCTTGTTTTTAATGGCACTCTGTATTACACTCCTAAAGTGAACCAAAAATTTAAGACTGTTAAAAGAAATACATACACAACACACACACACACACACACACACACACACACACACACAGAGTCATAAAGACAGAAAAAGATGGAAATTGAGAAGAAATTTTATAGGAAAACATAGTTTAAAACTAATGTTTGTACCTCAATTTTTTAAACAACAAAGAAATATAAATACTAAATAGGTTTATTATGACATAAAGAACTGGTTTATTTTTCAAGGGGTGCCAATGGTATTTTGAATAAATTGATTTTTCTATTTTTTTAAAATATAGACTACAAAACTTTTTGAAAGAATAACTAGAACTTTTATAAATCAAAGATATAATGTCTGGCATTTGCTTCAAAATAATTGGGGGAAGGAAAATGGTGGTGGAGGTGTTGATGAAAAAAGATAAGCTTTGCCTGGTCCATTATTGGAACTGGTTGATTGTACAATGACTATTTATAAATTCACATTATTTTTTAATTCATTCACATCATTTTAATAATTCATTTCTTCTTAAAAACAGAACATTAAAAAGTCATCAGTATAAAAGTGAATTGGAGTGATGTATTAGTCAAGATGAGAAAGTCCTGCATTAAAATAAGGGAAAGCGGGGCTGGAGCAATAGCACAGCAGATTTTGCCTTGCTCACGGCCAACCCGGGTTCAATTCCCAGCATCCCATATAGCCCCCTGAGCACCGCCAGGGGTGTTTCCTGAGTGCAGAGCCAGGAGTAACCTCTGTGCATCGCTGGGTGTGACCCAAAAAGCAAAATAAATAAATAAATATATAGTTTGGAGAAGGTCATCACCTTGGTAGAGCAAAGGAAAGAGTCTAATTATTGACAATTATTTTGTCTTTAGTGTGGGAAATCTCAATTTTGGGGGGACCACACCCAGTGATGCTCAGGGGTTACTATGGGTTACCAGGGATTGAACCCGGGTCAGCCGTGTGAAAGGCAAATGCCCTATCCACTATACTAAATATAAAGGAAATATAAAGGAATAAATATAAAGGAAATATATATAAAGGAAATATAAATATAAAGGAAAACTAAGTAAAACTGAAAAAGCAGATTTAACTGATTATTAAAAAGAAAGAAAAAGGAAATGATATCAGCAAGCTTATAACATCTAAGGAAACAGTTACAGACATCTGAACAATTTGAAGGCAACACTAAAAATTGTATACATATACTTTAAATACTAATACTTAAAACTTTTGTAAAATAATTCAATGTTCTCCACGTAAACACCATACAAATATATAATAACATTTCAGAATCTATTCATTAAATATATGATTTTCTAATGGATAGATTGTTTTTACTAAATTAGGAACTGGTAGATTTGACTTTCCAAGATCAGTGTAAACTTTTAGCAGGTTTCTTCAACTAGCTTGGAAGCTTACTCTGATTCTTACCACATTTTCTGCTGACCAGCCGGGCCCATGCCTGTTGAAGGTTCATCCAGGAGCAGGATGGGCGAGTCTCCCAGGATGCTCAGCAAAAAACACAACTGAAATGCAGAGAAACAATTCTATTTGCTGCCACCAAATCAGCCCTGGGAAAACTACCCTTCGACACATTACCTTCCTACTGGCTCCTGTTGTTAATTTACACACTGGAACATTCAGTTGTTCGTGCAGTTCAAAAGCAGCCACCAATCTGATGGGAAAATGAATGAGAATATGGAGAGATGTTCCTTAGAAAACGCAACTACACAGAACTGTCATGGAATCAGAGAAGCTTGGTGGTATGACTTTGTAAACTAAAACTCCGTGATCAGAGGGAGAAACAAATTTTTTGTTGCAATGAGAATGGCTTTGTATTATAAAAAGTTGGAGCAGTGAGAAATGCAAATTAGTATCCATTAAGGATGAAAAAGAACTCAGGAATGGATAAATGGATGAAAACAAAACTCAAGTTTAGATCCATCGATGAGAGGTGTGAGAAATCAGACCTGTGCTCTATTCCTGCCCTCCCCCTGATGCACCCTTTAAAAGGGCGCAGACAACATTTCAACTCTCCTTTCTTCATCAGTGAGTTTTTCATCTTTGGCAAAATCTTTCTCCCACATAACAAGTGGTCCCTTTGTACCGTAAAATGGCAGCACTGGCATCCTCTTTGTTCAGACCCTTCACAGAGGCAAACACCTCAAAGTGCTCCTTCACTGTTAGACTGGACCACAGCACATTCTCTTGAGGGCAGTACCCCAGGGACTTGACTTGGCCATCTCCTTGCTGATCCCAAAATGAGCGACAATCATTCAGTTCCACCTACGAGAGCAGAAAGGTTTGGAAACACAATCACTCTTTCCCCAATCACACAATGACTCAAGCAACAGGCAGAAAACTTGCATATTCCTAAAGCTTTAGAGCACTAAAGAAATAGAAAAGAACTTACTTCATCTATTTTGGATAGAAAGCACTTGAAATGAACCCAAGTCTTACTCTTACAGATATATAACCTGTGGTTATTAAGAGACATCTGTTGAGGAATTAGAAACCATTTTTTAAGTTTTCACTACCTCTCCAGCTGTTGGCTTTATGACTCCAGATATCATTTTCATAGATGAACTTTTACCAGCTCCATTGGGTCCCAGTAATCCAAAAATTTCACCTGAAAGAGAATCACTGGCTATCAATATTCAAAGTGAAATAGTGGTAAACACCAAGCCATTTCTTCAATAACTCCTGAGATAAGATCATATCTCACCAAATTTACAAAATGTAAATACATAATTATCACAAAGGCATAAACTTTAATGCCAATAATTAGATAAAGTAACTGAAAAATATTGAATTGAGGTCAATACATCTGTCTTTCTTTTTCCAGCTTATAATAGCTTTCCTTTATTTTTGGTTTTGCTCTCTGAAGATCAACCAAAGTCTAAAAACATGGCCCATACAATAATGTATTTTGAAAAAGAGAGTGGGAGCATTCAGATAAATTATTATAGTATATTATTAGTTTTTTACTTTACTAATAGTTTTTCTTAATCTCTCAATCTGCCTAATATATTAAATGGTATCATAGTTATGTATGCATAAAAAAGACATATAAGAGGTTTAGTACTATCTGTAGGTTGAGACATCCCAGGAGGTGGGTTCCTGTAATATACTCTTGATAGATAATGAGAGGACTTCTACACTTGTTCACTTAAAATTGTGACAAATAGTTTTCTATGGGAGCTAAATGTTCTGGGTGTGTACATAAGAGATTTCTAAATTTGAGAGGTCAGGAACATTCATTCTATTTTGAGATCCACCTTCTGTATCGAAGCTACCATCATCTTTCGTCTAATCTGGCATCAGAGTACCTTGCCTGTCAGCCAAATCTATCAATGAAAAATAGCCAGATGTGCAATATTTTAAACACAAAAGTTAAATGTTGACAAAAGACTAGCTCAGAGATATCTTATGGTATTCCACGAACTTGGGAGCTTGTTTGGAGGTCCATATACTCTTGGCTAAAGAACGACAAGAGACAGATTCAGGAGGGCCAGTATGGTACAGTGAAGGAGAAACTGAAGCTCCACTGAGTTATTCAGATCACCTGAATCAACTCTGGAGATCAATAGAATGCCATATATCATAATCAAATCACCTTCCTAAATATACCAAATTCCACTAATTTGTTTTAAAATTGAATGCTGCATTTGCCACCTGAATTCAATCTTGTTCTATTGACCTCCTATCTAAACTCATTCTTTTCCTCCACTAAACCTTTCAACTGTACTTTTCTGACTACTCCCAAGTTATCTCTGTATCCGAGTCTCTACCTTTATTACGTTCTCTGCCTGTGGAGGTCTTGTCTCTTCATCACCCCCTACAGGGGACACAAGTCACTCAGATTATGGCTTAGCTATTACTACTGTTCATGAAAGACCTTCTTTAACCATAACCAATCACCCACAACATTTCACACCTTTGAATGTTCCACCTAGAACTTGTCTATGTGATATCAATTTCTTGATAAGATCGTTTAAAAAATATATCCACAAGGGGCTGGAGCAATAGCACAGAGGACAGATAGTTTGCCTTGCATGCTGCCAGCCCGGGTTCGACTCCCAGCATCCCACATGCCCCCCTCCACCCTCCCCGCCCCCCACAGCATTGCCAGGAGTAATTCCTGAGTGCAGAGCCAGGAGTAAGCCCTGTGCATCGCCAGGTGTGACTCCCAAAAGAAAAAAAAATAAAGACAATAACCTTTAAAAAAATAAATCCACAGCAGAATTAAAAAATCTATAAGGACAGCAACTTAACCCACTCCTTTCATAATTCTATCCCCAGAGCCTATAACAATGCCTGGCACACTCAAAATAATAATAGTAGTAATTTGAATGAATGAAGGAATGCTTCAGTTAACTATAACAGTGCCCATATCATAGATGCTCAGTGGGTATGTCTCACACTAATAGCGAATAAAATAAGTGATTCTTCCAAACCTTTTTGAACACAAAAGGAGATATTTCTTATGGCTATATTCTTTGGTTTTGAACAGCAACTTTTCTTCTGTTCCATATATTCTTTGTGTAGACAACTGGCAAGTATGACTGGTCTCTGGAATAGATGATGATATGATTTTTTTCGTGGATTTTGAGATTTTTGCTCCTATTATATTCATACTATAATCTTGCTTGTTATAAACCCAGTCACATTTTGAGTTGAGATTAATCTAGACAGCTTTTTAAAATATAATATGTAAATACTGGTGATGGAATTTCTTGCCACTTCGATCTCTTCTCAATACACTTAGAAAATATAATTTCAGAGAAGCCAACTCATTGCCTTTTAACTCTAGTTATCCAAACCAATTCATATATTAAAAAAGAATAAAACTTGAAGTTGGAAAGAAAGTACAGCAAGTTAACTGCCTGTCTTGCATGCAGCCTACCAGGATTCAATCCCTGGCACCCCACATGATTCCTTGAATCCCGCCAGGAGTTATGCCTGCACACAAAGCTGGGTTAATCCCTGAGCACAGCCAGATGTGGTCCCCAAATAAAAAATAAACAAAATAATAGAACTCTAGAGTTTTGTGTTTTTCTTTGAGGTCTCAGGACATTCCTAGAAAATATCTGCATATTTCAGAATTTTAAAAAACACCAAACTTGACAGTTTCAAAATGAACAACAGCCCATACACCATTGCTCGTCATAGTTCTTGATTATGCCCATGAAACCCCCCTTGGCCACCTGCTTTTCTACCTCTTCTGAGGTCGAAGTGGTGAGGGCAGTTGCTGTTCTTGTTCTTTCTGCTTGAACATCTTCATCTTCATCTCCAGGATGTTCTGGATTCTGCCGTGCACCTCCACTCTGGGGAGAAATTCTGCAGAAAATATGAAATGCAGGACATGGGCTAATCTCCTGTTGAAGGTGGATCAAAACTCAGCTTCTCTGTAAGTTCACCATTGTCCTTTCCCCCCATAGAATAAGGATGCTTCCACTTATGCCAAGCATTCCTGGTAGTCAGAATCCTATCCTCAGTGTTAATGCCAACCCCACTCAGCACCTCTTATCCTTTCAAATTTGTCAACAAACACTGCGACTTCTTTACAAATTAGATCACCCACACTTCCTTTGGGGATTCTGAGCCTATCTTAACCACCTCCAACTTTCATCACAGTATTTTTTTTACTATGAATCCTTTCTTAAGTCCTTTGATTCATGAAGTGCTGTGAATCCGGCTCTCTATCAATTCTATCTTATTCCTGCTGTTCAAAAACATATCAGTATTTTGGATGGGAGAATGACGTGCTTGATTGGTTACAGGATCAACTGTTTCCCCTAGGTGATTGTTGACAGAACTTGCCAAGAAGTCTGATTTTTTTCTGGTCATCTATAGGCCATCAGCAGTTTTCATTGTTAAAAACTTCATTTAAAATACGAATTTTATAATACCGTCTTAATAAACTGATAGTAGAGAACAACCTAGAAATACTAAGATAAATAGTAAGTAAATGCTTTCTTATTCCAACCTGAAAATAGGATCTCTTTGCATGATTCTCTTTCCATACTTCATTTCCAGGCATCTTAGAACAAAAATGAATAGCAAAGTCTGAACGTAAGGCTAGGAGCAAAGAAAAACAGTTATATTTAGGCATTTATTCCTAAAGAGCATTTAAAACATTTCAAACCAACGAGAGGGGTTTTGAAATTCAGGTGAAACCAATGTGAATCATTCTTACAAACAGAGACAAAGGTCTGGCTACCTAATGACAATTCAACTTCACAGAACAGGCCTCCATTCTTCTACCCACAGCCGATATCCAGTCTGTATCCAAGCCATAGAACTATAAAGAACCCAAATGCTTTTCACACCATAACCAGCCATAATTTCTCGTCATGGTACTATGAATCCTTGCTACTTGGTATCCTTCTCCACTTCCCCCATACACCTATTCTAACACCAAACATTAGAACCTAAGTGTGATTGTGTAACTTTGCTAAAACCGTCCAGGTACTCCTCAATGACTCAATATTGGGATCTAAATTCCAGAATACTCCATGTGATCCACTTCTGTCCACACTTTACCCTTATGACCTCTTACCTCACACTCCCTCTTGGTCTTTGTCACTGTTTCACTATCACATTGGCCTTCTGGCTGACCCTGTATGTCAGAGTCATGCTTTACCCCTTCTTCAGGAATGTTCTTCTCCTAGCTATTCCTACAGCTTACTTCTTTTTTTTTATAGTGAACAATTTTATTTTTTTATAGTGAGCACTTTTTTAAATTTATTTTTCTTTTTTTATTAGTGAAACACCATGAGGTACAGTTATAGACTTACAAATTTTGTGCTTGAGTTTCAGTTATACAATAATCAAGTGCCCATCCCTCCACCAGTGCCCATCATCCATCACCACGGGTCCCAGCATCCCCCCACCCCCCATCCCCCCCGTCCCATCCTGCCTCTGTGGCAGGGTATTACCCCTTGTTCTCTCTCTCTTCTTTTGGGTACTGTGTTTTGCAAGAGAGGCACTGAGTGGCAATCATGTTTGGTCTATAGTCTACTTTTAGCATGCTTCTCCCACCCTGGGGGGGTCCTCAAAACTCCCTTTATTTGGTGCTCTCTTCTCTATCTGAGCTTCCTTTTCACCTAGTACGTGTGGCTGGCCTTCCAGTCATGGAGCAAAAATCCTGGTACTAATCTCAGCCATTCCTGGGTGTTAGTCTCCCTTTTTGTTGCTTTATGTTCCCCAGATGAATGCAATCTTTCTGTGTCTATCCCGCTCTTTCTGACTCATTTCGCTTAACATGATACTTTCCATGTAGTACCACTTGTATGTAAATTTCATAACTTCATCTTTTCTAACAGCTACATAGTACTCCATTGTGTAAATGTACCAAAGTTTCTTTAACCAGTCATCTGTTCTTGGGCACTCAGGTTTTTTCCAGATTCTGGCTATTGTAAAGAGTGCTGCAATGAACAAACAATTGCAGATGTCACTTCGACTATACCTTTTTGCCTCTCTGGGATATATTCCCAGGAGTGCTATAGCTGGGTCAAATGGCAGATCAAATACATCTTACTTCTTGCCACCATCAGATCTTATGTTCCTCAACCAAACTTTTCTTGACCATGCACCTGACATAGCATATGTTATTCATTTGGTTCATTTTCTGCCTCCTCCACTAAAGGTAAGATTCATGACTTGTATGGCTGTTTGCTCTTGTGCCTAGCAAGTACTAATATCATAGTCAGATAGTAGATTTCCTCAGCCTGTAAATATGCAATATGATCATTTCCCCTTTCCCCTTTTTTTATTCAACTGTGTCCTTTTAGTTTCAATAGAAAGGATTTACATTGTACTGTGCACATATGCTTTATAAAGTCTTTCTAATTGGGAGGTGGCTGAAAACAGGATAAATAACCATGGCAATACAATTTAATTCTAGATATAGGTTCATTCATGCGTACAAAAATGACTAGAATTGAGGACAGTGGAGAGAGCTAGTGCAAGGAGCTCAGAGCATACTTTGCATACATGATACCTAGGTTTCATCCCCAGAACCTTATGGTCCACTAGACACCTCTGTGAGCAACCATGAGCAATGCTGGATCTGGCCCACAATACAAAAATAAGAATAGGGAAGAAAATCAAAATAAGCAGAATCCACAGAGGCAGGGTGGGATGGAGGGGATGGGGGGGGGGGTATGAGGGATACTGGGATCCGTGGTGGTGGGAAATGGGCACTGGTGGAGGGATGGGTATTTGATCATTGTATAATTGAAACCCAAGCACAAAAATTTGTAAGTCTACAACTGTACCTCATGGTGTCTCACTAATAAAAATTTAAAATAAATAAATAAATAAGCAGGATTTAGAATCATACACGACTCCAATTACTTCATATAAGACAATCTTAAAGATGCTCCCAAGGCAAGCATAGATCAGATCAGATCAAAGAGTTGTTGTAGTCAATGCTAATGATCAAAATGGGTTGTGATTTATACAGGAAATCCTTACTATGAGACAGAGTAGAAAATCTGCACCACTAATGGTAATAGCTGTATCTTCCACACTTTCGTGATACATGTAGTTTTTCTGCAAAGACAAAAAGTGGTCAAGTGGAAATATATCAGTTTTATTTAAGTAATACGGAATTTTACATATTCCTGGGTTATAGATACACAACTGAATACTACTTGGATACAAGACAAAACAAAATCATGCAATTTACAATCAGGTAGTGTGGTAACTGTGGGGTATTACTCTGAATGAAGTCAGACAGAAGGAGATGGACAGATGCAGAGTGATCTCCCTCATATGTGAGACATAAAGGAACATAGTATATGAATAACAAATGGTCAAAGACAACAGAACCTGAGAAACTGATCTACAGAACTGAGCTTACCAAGGCAGGGGTGTCAGGGGGCATGAAGGGTGGTCAGGAGGGGACTCTAAGATAATAGTGGGCAAAAATTTTGTTGAAGGGTGAAGTGACGGAACATTTTATGTACAAAACCATATAATTAACATAATGTAAATAATGATGCTTCGAATAAAAAATCATATTTAAAAATAACTCATTATTATTATTATTTGGCCATACTGGCTGTGCTCTGGGCATACTCCTGACTCTGCACTCAGGAATCACTACTGGCAGAGTGTAGGGGATAGTATGGAGTGCCTGGGATTGAACCTGGGATGGCTTTGTGTATGACAAACACTGTAGCCACTGTACCATCACTCTGGACCCCTTTATACTTTTAAAGAAAGGATATTGGTTATTTAATTTTTAATAAGGTGAATCCTAGGAATTAAAATGCCATAAAAGATTGTGTGTAATATGCAAAGAAAATGTGAGAAGAAAGTGAAAACCAGACTTTTGTGTGGAAGCAGCCATTGATTTATTCTTGTGGAGTGATGAAGTGAAACACTGGATATCATATGAACTGAAAAAGTTGTTTATTAAACTCTTATTATCTTGCTAAAAACAAAAATTAAAAAATGATTCATTCCTAGAAATGTGTGCCGGATCCGGTTTGACATATTTCATCTAGCAGATCAACTGATATTTTAGGTTGAAATGCTTTTAAGCTATAGAAGGGATTTTCAAATAGAATTTCAGGCATCTCTCAGTCAATGGAAAGGTATTTTTTTTCAAGTGTATTTTAGGAGCCTAAGAATATGGATGACTGGGAATGTGCTTCCCTTATTGACACTTCGTTCAGAATATTTCCAGGCTCTCACATTATGTCCCTCGCTGAGCTAGTGACTTCTCCTACACCTGTTTCCATTTGGATCATATTGTCTCTTTAATGTCTCCTTATTTTTCCTGTATATATTCTTTTGCTTTCCTCTACAGAACATGCTTGTCTTTTGTCACATTTGGTAAATTTTTTTATTTTCAAGTTTTTAAACTTTTAGTCGCCAAATTTTATAATACTGACAATATTTATGTTCTAAGAATGAAACGTGCAATTCCACACCTACCACTAGAGTATCAGTATCTTTCCATCACTGTCTCTAGGTCCACTCCCTCTCGCTCCCTTAACCCAGGATTTAGCAAACTCTCTTCTTTGGAAGCCTCTCAGAATCTACTATTGTTGTCCTTTTGAAACTACTTTACTGTTCCTTGATACTCCATGGATAAGATAATTTGATATTTTCCTTTAATTTTTACTACTGTTCACGACTTTAAACACTGCTTCTCCCAAAAGAGTTGGGAGACTTTAAACACGAACTCTCCAGAGGACATCAGTCCTTTTTTTTAAATATCTGTCCTCAGCAGTTTTTCCTTCCATTTTGCCTTGATTAGTTTTGGTTGTTCTGTCTTTGTATTCACCAAGTTCTGTGAAAGGATGGACTATGCTATCTTGTTTATCAGGAACCTCTGATTACTAATACAGTATAGCTTTCAATAGATATCTTTGAGGAGTTTGAGGACCAGGACTTACCCCTGATTCTGTGCTAAGTCACTCCCAGAAGTACTCAGGGAGCATACGTGGTGCCTGGGATTCAACTGGAATTAGCTGTATGTAAGGCAAGCACCTTACCATCTTTCTGGCCCCCAACATGCTACTGTACAAGAATGCATTCTTTAAATGAATAACACTCATTAAGCTAGATGATTTTTTTCAATCTGGCATTATCTTTAGCAATTGATAATAACTGTTTTCTGCAAAGCTCATATAGCAAAACTTAATGCCCTTATTGAAGTTAATCTCCCATACCATAAAATTTATCCTTTTTAAGTACACAAGTATTTTCAGAATATGCAAGGCATTAGAAATACATTGCCACAAATCAACTTTTGAATATTCTCATTGCCCCCAAAAGATCATCTCATACATTTTTACTGTTCTCACCTTCAAGAAACCATTAATCACATTCTTTTCTCTATAGACTTGGGAAAACACTTTAATAGTTAGGGTGCCAATTTAATATTAATGACAGAGTTGGAAACATTTCTTACCTCCACAATAACTCTTATAAATCCAATCAAGATAATGGGTGGAAAAAATATCATAGCAGTAATGTAAGTGGGTATACGCGACTCATGCATAACAATGGTATCAAAGAGGATGAGTGAGACCTACGAAGCAAGTTGAAATATAGTGTTTATCAGTCTTAATCAGTCCATTGGTATTTCAGATGCATGATAAGCATGTAAGATGGCAAATCCAAAGAACTCCCTTCCTTTAAACAATCTCTGCAAACTCTTTGCCAAGGTACATCTAGAGGTTCATGTCATCATAGTTTTGTATTTTCATGACCTCACATTCTGTATTGTTCTCCCAAATCACTCATTTCTGAAACTCCCATTAAGTCCAATTAAGTGACTTCTCTTATTCCACTAGATTTACAAATACATACACAAGTGTGTCATTTTCTCCTTCTTAGCTATTGGGATAAGACAGGGTCCAATCTTCATCAAGGACATGGTCTACAACTCAGTAGGCTAAGAAGGTTCTTCCACTATTGGGCTGAAAATATGGCCTGAAAGATTGATTCCTCTTTAAATAGGGGATGAGATGTTGTCACATCTCATGTGACAACCCATGAAGTTGTCACAGCTGGGACAGTGTCATGGATACAAAATCACTAGAGACTATGAATTCACTCAAAGATGTGGAGACATCTGCTGACGTTCCGATCACACCCACTATCACCAAAGGACAGCTATTCTAGTCACCAGCATGATATACACTTTAAACAATCTCATGAGGAATTAAAAATTGACCTCAGTTCTTAACAACAGCAAGGTTTTAGTTATACTAAGTACAGGATAAAAGATAGATTTTTCACAGAAACAGACATATCCGCAGCCATCCTGATCAGTTTTATTCGTAACTGAAAGTTGTGTAAAACATGAAGTGTACATGTGAACTCTTTATCCATCTTTGCTGGATATATGTGAGAATGTTTTCTTATTTTGTTTTGTTTTGTTTTGGGCCATACCTGGCAGTGCTCAGGGGTTACTCCCATCTCTGCACTCAGGAATTACTCCTGGTGGTGTTCAGGGTACTATATGGGATGGTGGGGATTGAACTGGGGTCAGCCACATGCAAGGCATGACTCATCAATAAGTTCTACTTCTCTCTCCCTTGTGTAGTGTATATCTAAGGTATCAACTTTCCCATAGCTCAAGACAACGATGATTATATATGAATTGCATTGAAAGTTTTGGAATGGACACTATTTCTTTTTAGTTTATTTTTTAAAACTATTGTTCTATTTTTGTTCTTTGTTGTTATTTTTGTTTGGGGGGGTCCACACCTAGAAGTTCTCAGGGCTTACTCTTGCTCTGCACTCAGGTATCACTCCTGGAAGGGCTCAGAGAACTATATGTGGTACTGGGGATCAAACCTGGGTTAGCTACATGCAAGGCAAGAGCCCTCCTCACTGTACTATCACTCCAGCTTCAAAGATACTCTATTTACATGTTTGTAACTGTACTTACAAAATAGAGGGCAAATGACCAAATGCCACTATTTTTTCTCCTCTTGCGAAAAAGAAATGATATCACATATGTCATGAAGACCAGAGAAGTTGCAAAACCAAGCATAATTACAACCTGAAAATAATTCAAATAATATCAAGGTTAAAACAGGAAATATTTAAAATATCTATTTTGCATGAATTATTCATGGTTTAAAAATTATGTGTCACAAAATAAAACTATTTTAATTATATGAAATATTACTGTTAGATACATTTTGTGAATGTCCTGATGCTGTTTGCATAAGATATTACTTACCAAGGCAAACAAAATTAGTCCCGATAGATGAATGTCCTGAATAGCTTCAAGTATTACAATTAGATTAAGAGAAATGAGAATAAAAACATAAAGGGTGACATCAACCAGTGCCTGTCCACACCAGTAAGCAGAAGGAAAGAGTCCGGAAGTCCATAGTTGGGACTTACAACTTTTCTGATTAAAAAAAAAATAAATAGAAAGATATTTAGAGGATCAGTTCACATCCAAATCCAAAACAAGCACATTAGAAAAAAATATAAGTAGCCTAAATTAAACTTAGAATTAAAATTACTCTCAGCATTTTAAAACTTCTAAGAATTTTTTCCTGAAAAATTTTAGTTTAGGTGCTTATTATGTGGGAACTTGACGTTGAAGGAGAGTATTTTTGAATTTTATAAACTTTATTCGCAACCACCTGAGTTCACAAATAAAGAACAGAAATGTGGGGACCAGGAAGGTAGCACAGTGGTCAAGGCTATGTACTTTGCATGGGACTCCAGTTCGATTCCCAGTACTGCATGGTTCCTGGTATGGCAGGAATAACAGGTATGGCACTGGTGGTTCCCAGCATGACAGGGCCCAAACAGTACTGCATTCTCAGGACAGAGAGTTAGCCTGTCTGTTCTGGTTGGCCAAATATCAACAGGAATGGCTCTAGAATTTTCTGAGCTCTCTTTGACTGTCTCCATCCTCCAAAAGTAGGAATAGAAAAGTGTGCTGGGGATACATTTCTAAGCTAAGCATTTTCCTTGCATATGTGAGGCCCTGGGTTCAGTCCCTTCTCCACACACACACACACACACACACACACACACACACACACACACACACGCCTCAAGAATAGTGGCTACCATAATGATTAAAAATCAGTCCTCTGCTAAAAGTTATTGTGTGCTCCAAAGAAAAATAAATTCTCCATAACCCAAATATATTCTGGAAGAGTTGATGGTTCAGAACAGTGAGGGATGATTGCTCCAAATCTGTTTTAACTCCTTTACCTAGGTAATGGACATAACCAAATATAAATAAATATAATTCTAAAAGTTGTGTTCACTCTTGCAGAAGAACTACTCAGGTTTTAAATTTCGTCCTCAATTCCAATCTAAATGATTTCTTCCAATAGTTAGGGAAATAATACAGTTGAAGTTTTATAATGTTCCTCTTTGAAAGTATACATTAACTTGAATTGCTATGAAATGATTGCGTTTTTACTGTAATTCTAAAATGAAAAAGTAATTTGACTTAAAAATGCACCACACTTGAAAGAGATGAAAAATTAAGTTATTATTTAAATTAGGAATACATTTAAATGGCTTTTTCACAGGAAAATGTTTTGAATGCACAGCACTGACAACTAGGACTGAAGTATCTCAAATATCTTTTTTTTTAACACGCCCCCATCATTCCCTCTTACTTGGTAATCGCCGACACTGCTCATGGCAAAGTAAGGAGAAATGTTGCAGACCACCAAAAACAAGAAAATGGTACTCTCAGGCAGCCCAAACCAGCTCAACAAAAGTAACTGTTGATAGAAATGGTACTTTAAATTAGGGACAATTTTAGCAAATGAAGCAAATACTAATAATCATATGAATGTGTTTTTTCATGTATTGGAAAAAGTAAAAAAAGTAAAGGCCCTCCCGTTGATCATCGATTTGCTCGAGCGGGCCCAGTAACGTCTCCATTGGAGACTTTGTTGTTACTGTGTCTGGCATATCGAATACTCTTGGTAGCTTGCCACGCTCTCCGAGAGGGGTGGAGGAATCGAACTCGGGTCGGCCATGTTGGCTGCGTGCAAGGCAAACACCCTACCCGCTGTGCTATTTTACATATAGTTCATCAACATTTATGGATGGAGCTGAGGGGGGATAATTTGTGATCTTTGAGCACAAGGCTTCACCTCCTAGGAAAAAAGAGACATAAAATATACAACTGGGACATTTGAGGGTGCATGTCAAGAAGGATTAAAGCATTAAAACCCCGTGGAAGTAAATATGGAGACCAAATGGGCTATGAGGACGAGATGGAAAGGTTGCGCATTTTTCTGCAACTTAGATGGGATTGGAAGTGAGTCGGAAAGTAAAAGATAAATAGTATATAATATCATAAATATGCAGTCTATAAAAAATAGAGGGATTACCACAGAGATTGGCAGACATAAAAGAAGAACAACCAATGCTGGTGCTGATGTAGGGAGAAAGGGATTCTCATTCATTGTTGGTGGGAATGCCCCCTGGTCCAACCCTTTCTTGGAAAGCAATATGAGCATTCCTCCAAAAAATTAGAAATTGAGCTTCCCTATGACTGAGCAATACCAGTTCTGGGAATATACCCTAGGGACCCAAAAACACACTGTAGAAAAAAAAATCTCCATTTCTATGTTCAATGCAGCACTACTCACAATAGCCAGAATCTGGAAATAACCCAAGTGCCTGAGAACAGATGCCTGGATAACGAAACAATGGTACATCTACATAATGGAATACTATACAGCCACCAAAAAAATGAAGTCATGAAATTTGCTTATAAATGGATTCACATGGAGAGTGTCATGCTGAGTGAAATGAGTTGGGAGAGGGACAGACATAGAATGATTGCACTCATTTGGGGGATATATATTTTTAAAAAAACATAGTGTGAGACTGGACTGGAGCAATAGCACAGCGGGTAGGGCGTTTGACTTGCATGTGGCTGACATGGCCCACCCAAGTTCGATTCCTATGCCCCTCTCGGAGAGCCTGGCAAGCTACGGAGAGTATCTCATCCACACGGCAAAGCCTGGCAAGCTACCCGTGACATATTCGATATGCCAAACACAGTTAACAAGTCTCACAATGTTACTGGGCCCGCTCGAGCAAATTGATGAACAATAAGAGGACAGTGACAGTGACAGTGTGAGACTAATGTCCAAGGACAGTAGAAACAAGGATCAGGAAAACTGGCCCACGGTTGGAAGCTTACTTCAAGGTGGCAGAGGGATGGTGTGGGGTGTGGGGGGGGCAGGTGTTGAAATAGAAAAGGGATCACCATGACAAAAGATTGTTGGAACTGATCACTCTGAGTAAGAATGGCATGCTGAAAGTAGGTAAAGGAAGAAACTTGATAACCTCTCAGTACCTATATTGCAAAAGGAGAGGGAGGGAGGGAGGGAGGGAGGGAGAGAGGGAGGGAGGGAGGGAGGGGAAAAGAAAGAGAAAGAAAGAAAGAGGGGGATAGAGAGAGCTTGCAGTATACTCTGGCTGGACAGTGGTGGTGGCATGAGGGAAACTGGGTGGGAAAAGTGCACTGGTGAAGGGTTGGGTGTTGGAACAATGTATGACTGAAACCTAGCCATGAACAGCTTTGTAACTGTGTATCTCAATTAAAGTGGTTCCATTAAAAGGGGTGATTCAATTAAAGGGAGGGTAATTAGGCAATCCCCAATGGAAACAAATTCTGAGATGATCAGTAGAGCTGATTATGGGATAATGGTGGAGGGATCTTAACACACTGGTGGAAGGATTGGAAAGTAGCTCTGCAACTGCAAAATAACAGCTTCATTATTATTGTAAATCGTGATACCTCAATAAAAATAAATTTTACTAGTGAAAAAAATAAGATAATGGTACAAAATATTGATTTTCATGATGTATAAGTCATTAATATCCAAAAGCTAGGGAGATAAAAACAGATTGCTTGTCAAATTTCTCTTTGTTCAGAATGAACACATCTGGTACTTACTACAGTAGATGTGCTTCTCGCCATTCGAATATACTGTGTGTGATTAAACATTCCAAGTAGCCCATTACTGATGACGTTCATGAGAATAGGAAAACAATGCAGTCGTTTGGTGTTGCACACAATAGAAAATCTATAATCCTGCAACCGAAGCAGAGACAACTAAAATAAAGCATGTTGATTCTAAATCACCGACAAAGATTTTATAAATAAGATTCAAACAGTGCTACCTTCTAGCTATGTGACCATCTTTAAGTTAACAGTCCAGTAAATTTCAGTTTCATGCGTCTAAGACCATCATAGAGATGTCACATACATTTGGCAATTTTAATTAGTGTTACTAGTTTTAGATCATCTTGTCCCCATTTCACCCATGAGAAAATATCAGCAAAGGGAACTTTAAAGCGATTCTAACAGACAGCCTGAATGCAAAACATCAACAACCACAAAGCAACTGAACGGGGACTTTCGAATAGAGATCTTTTGCTAGAGTTCATCCAATCCTCATGATCAAAATGAAGTGTTTTCGCACTTTCTCAGAATGTTTCTGTTCTTGATGTTTATGAAAATATTGGTATCTCAATAAAGATGGACTATATTATTTAACCACGATTTGGAGCAATAGCACAGCGGGTAGGGCATTTGCCTTGCACGCAGCTGACCCAGGTTCGATTCCTCCGTTCCTCTCAGAGAGTCGGCAAGCTACTGAGAGTATCTTGCCCACACGGCAGAGCCTGGCAAGCTCCCCGTGGCATATTCGATATGCCAAACATGGTAACAACAAGTCTCACAATAGAGACATTACTGGTGCTCACTCTAGCAAATTGATGAACAACGGAGGACAGTGGACATCTAACCTTTCATGCATCAGCATATTAGAGAAGTAATTAAGTACCAATAAGCTATCAAGAAATATCATTTCCTGGGGGCTGGAGAGATAGTGTAGCAGGTAGGGCGTTTGCCTTGTACATGGCTGACCTGGGTTCGATCCCCACCACCCCAATTGATACCCCATATCTGCCAGGAGTGATTCCTGAGTACCGAGCCAAGAGTAAGTCTGAGCACCACTGGGTGTGCACCCCCAAAACAAACAAAATATCATTTTCCAAACTGGTAACAAGATGACATTGTTTTTGACATAAAGTGTAGGTGGAAACTAATTCAATGATTCCTCTTTTTGCTTCTGTTTTTGCTTTTATTTCCTTATAATCAGAAACAGATGTAGTTTTATTTAATGTGGCAGCCAATTTTTTATTGGAGTACAAGAAGTAGAGAGTTGCTGATGGTTAGGAAGTATTCTCAATACTCATTTTTGCTGAGAGATCTCTTTTGATTTGCTCTTTATCCAAATCCAAATATCTTGAGATAGTAGACTGGAAACACTTTTGTCTTATAGGTTTCATATGGCTCAAATAATATTTAATGGTTTTTCTTCTAAAACCATCTTCCAGAAGGGCAATGGAGAAGATTATCCATGAAATCTCCATTTGAGATTTCTACTCAAATCTCTTCGATAGCCATGTCCACCTGCTGACACACCAAATTCCACAGGATGGATATGTTATTCCCAATGTTCTCCCTTCAGAAATCCGACACGCCATTTCGTCAGTAAAGAAATGAACAGCACCTGGCCCAGACAAGGTCAGAACTGAACACCTGAAGAACCTGCCATCAGTACTCATCAATACGCTGGCTCGGCTCTTCACATGCTACCTGTCTGAATGCAAGGTTCCATCCCAGTGGAAAACCAGCAGGACTGTACTACTGTACAAGAAGGGAGACATCCATGACATTGGCAACTATCACCCAATCTGCCTATTGTCTGTCATCTACAAGTTGTTCACTCGAGTCATCCTGAATAGGATTGGCAGAACACTAGATGAAGGACAACCATGCAAGCAAGCCAGGTTCCACAAGGATTCAGCACCATCGACCATATCCACATGATAACCAAGCTCATTGAGGTTTCTCGGGAGTTCAAGATGCCGCTCTGTCTAACGTTCATTGATTTGAAGAAGGCCTTTGATTCTGTTGAGACAGAAGCGGTCATTGAAGCCCTAGCCAATCAGGGCATTCAAACTCAATACATCAGGATCCTCCGTGAGCTGTATTACGGATTCACTACCAGGATCTCACCATTCTACAAAGAAGTAATCATTGATGTCAAGAGTGGGGTTTGGCAGGGTGATACCATTTCACCGAAACTCTTCAGTGTCACCCTCGAGAACATCATGCGACGACTGGAATGGGAAGGAATGGGAGTGAAAATAAATGGTGGGCAACTACACCACCTCCGCTTTGCTGATGACATTGTTTTAATAACACCAAACATCAGCCAAGCGGCACAAATGCTGGCCGACTTTGACTGTGAGCGTGGAAAGGTAGGACTACAGTTGAATCTTACAAAGACAATGTTTATGAGAAACAGCCTCATTCCTGACACCCCATTCGCTCTCAACGGAACGACCATCTCCGAATGCAACAGCTATGTGTACCTAGGTCGAGAAGTCAACATGACAAATGACCTGGCACCCGAGCTGCGCAGGAGGAAGAGAGCGGCTTGGAACGCCTTCAAGAGCGTCGAAGAAATAGCTAAGAGGACGAAGAACCTCCGGCTCCGGGCACATCTCTTTGATTCCACTGTTCTTCCTGCATTAACATACGCCTCAGAGACCTGGGCCCTATGCAAACAGGATGAGAACGCTATTCGGGTCTCCCAAAGAGGAATCGAAAGAGCTATGCTTGGAATATCACGTTTCATTCAAATGAGAGAAAGAATCCGGAGTTTTGACCTCCGTTGGCAATCAAGAATCAGGGACGCTGTCTCGTTTGCCAGGGTGTCAAAAATCAGATGGGCTCGTCATGTAATGAGATTTAGAGACGACTGCTGGACTAGAGCCGTTACTGACTGGATTCCACAGGATGTCAAAAGACCACGTGGCAGGCCACCTACCAGATGGTCAGACTTCTTCATCAAGATCATGAACGATCATTTTGAGGCTCTTCGTGTTCCTAGAACGAACAGACGCCATTGGGCTACACTAGCACGCGACAGGGACAAATGGAGACGTTGCTGGCACCCGCTCAAGCAAATCGACGATTAACGGGAAGTCGAGTGATCAAGTTTCTTCTAAGAATACAAACATATTTTGTGGGAGGGACCAGGCACAGTTCAAAAGGCTGAAGTATATAATTTGCCTGCAGGTGTCCTTGGTTCCATTACTGGTATTTCATGGTCTCCAGAGCATTACCGATTTCTGGGTGTAGTCCATTTAGATATATAGTATTACATAGATTATATATATTGATTATATAATATATAATACATAATGTTATATGTGTATATATGCATCTGTATATACATATACACATAGCTGGTTAGTCTTCTATATAACTTCAGTTCCTAATAATATTGTTTGGCAATTATAAGTTCAATACTTTGAGTTTGAGTATCACAATTATATTTAGCTACTTTCTAATTTAAAAAAATCTAATTCAAATAATAAAATATTGGCCTTTTAAAATAAAAAAATCTTGTGCAAAAATGCAAACTTTACTGTTTATTCAATAACGTTACACAATGGTTTTTAGAAAAGTCATTGTGTGCTAGTCAGGCTGACTTCCTTAAGTTTTTTGAACAGTTACAATGTAGCACTTTATTCATTAAAGCAAAAATGTGAGGCAAGGCACACATACCTTCTGTTTACCAGAAACTATGATAACTCCATTATATGATGGATCCTCTGTGCCATTTCTATTTTCAAAGTCGTCTACTTCCAGTAGTATATTTTGTTGTTTAACTGACTTTATAAAATCTTCAATATTTGATTCTAATAATATTAACAGAAGACCATACAAACACACAAGCAATAAAACATATAAAAAATTTTAAACAAACTCTACACATGTTCATTGTCAATAATTTTACGGTAGTAGAGCAAAGCATTAGGCATCACAGTCATAGTATTGACCCATGAGAAGGAAATCACTCTGCCATCTTCTGTTATCAAATCTCCTGGTGTAATTAGCTCACTTCATAATTCTTTATAACGCAAATTAGCAAGTTACTGTGAAAACCAGATCACACTATTCTATGGCTGAAAAAAGTACACTTGAGGGGCTGGAGAGGTAGTACAGAGGATACTTGCATGTGGCCAACCCAGGTTCAATTCCAGTCACCCCATATGGTGCCCTGATGTCTGCCAGGAGTGATTCCTGACCACAGAGGCAAGAGTAAGTAAGCCCTGACCACTTCCAGGTGTGGCCCAAAAAACAGAAGTAAAAAATAAAAACATAAAAATCCACTTGAGGCGCTGGAGCAATAGCACAGTGGGTAGGGCATTTGCCTTTCATTCAGCCGACCTGGGTTCTATTCCCAGCATCCCATATGGCCCTCTGAGCACTGCCAGGAGTAATTCCTGAGTACCGCCAGGAGTAATTCCTGAGTACAGAGCCAGGAGGAACCTCTGTGCTTCACCAGGTGTGACCCAAAACAAAACAAAACAAAACAAAACAAAAACTCCACTTGAAGTCAAAACATTTGTGGAGACAGCAGTTATCTGAGGGATACTCACAATTATATAGCTGCAAAATGATTGTTAAAATATTACCCTTTCTCCTTTATTTTCTGAATTAACAGAAAATATGTGCATATCACATTTATTTTACATATTTATATCTATATGGTATTTGTATATTACATAAGCATATTTTAATTACATAAATATATTTTCCCCTTAGAAAGTAGAAAATACAAAGAGTGATATAATCAGGTGAACATTTTTATGTACCCCTAAAAAAATGCAGATAAGAAAGAAATTCATTTCATTTCATTTCATCATCCTGTTATTCGTCGATTGCCTCGAGCAGGCCCCAGTAACGTCTCTTTCATCCTAGCCCTGAGATTATATTCAAGGTTATTTAGGAGAATGAGACCCATAATTTTTACTGGTATTTGGCATATTTGGTACGCCACGGGGAGTTTGCCAGACTCTGCCCTGTGGTCAAGAAAGAAATAAGCTGATAAAATTCCCTGGTTTGCAGTAGTCAGAAGTAAAAGTTTGCAGTAGTCAGAAGTAAAAGTTGTGAAGGTGCAACCCTTTACTGGGTCTTTAAATTCGAGCTGTTCAGACTCAGGGAGGCAGGGAGGCAGTCCTGATGCTCTGGACGGGCTCCATAACCCATCAGATCCACCTCTGGGTCAGTCAGAGGCACTCAGGTCAAGGTGGCATTGGAATCCTCCTCTGCTCAGCACAGAACAGAGAGCTTTTTCAAATTCCAAGAACTAGGCAGATGAAAGGATTATTTAGAAAAAATACAAATATGAATTTCTAGATCCTGCCAGAGAGTCACTAGGTATAAAGATGCCATATTTATGGTGAAGATTAGGATACTGTAACAAAGAGGATTGAAAATAGAGTAGCTGAGTCAACATGGATACTCAAGTATCTCTACTCTCTATTCCACAAGTTAGTGTATGTGTGTGTACGGGGGAGTGTGGAGGGGGGTTGTTGGCTTGTGAATCTTTTGGGATATTCAGATATCATTCCTGACTGGCCTCAGGGAACCATATGGAATGCTGAATATTGAACCCAGGTCAGCTGCATGCAAGAGAAGTGTTCTGCCCATTGATTTATCTCTCCAGCCCCCAAAGGTTTGTTATTTGGGGAGGGGAGAACACCTGGCAGTGCTCAGGGCTTACTTCTGACTCTGTGCTCAGGACTCAAACCTAGTAGGGCTCAGGGGACCATCAGAAATGCTGGAGATAGAACCCATGTCAGCTGTGTGCAAGACAAGTGCCCTAACTACTATATTATCACTCCAGCCTTCTACTCCACAGCTTTTAGAAAGGTTTTTCCCGCCTTGCCCCATCAGCTCCAAATCAGACCAAAGCTGTATGGTCTATTTTGTTTATGAATGAAGCATACATGCACGTTTTCTTCTCTCACAATTTTCTTCCCCTCTCCAATGTGCCATTTAACAATTAAAATGAAAGTTCTGGTTTTAAATTTTGTTTCCTCTCACCTGTGTTATTGATGATCAACAGGCTGGTACGAGTTTCTTGGGGAAGTTGTCCAGGAGAGAGGAAATAAAACTCAGGTTTAAATTCCCAGTCAATCGTTTGATCTAAGAGACCATACACTATCCTTTCCATAATGAAAGGGTAAATTGCAATTCCGAATACCAACAATCTATCAATGAAGGGGGAAAAATCACTTTGTAAATCTATAGCCATTGTATTCATCAGACACACATTTCACAAATATTTATTAAATGTCTATTCTATTCTATGCCATGATTATTGGGACAAATATTTTGAAATTATGTTACTAAATGCTGGTTTTTACATAATCACCAGGCTATCAAATGATGAAAAGGAAACGGGCGAGTGTATGTAGCTGCTCAAATGCCAACATACTGGTATTTACAGTTACTTAAACCGCAGGTTATACTTTTCCATACAAAATGTTCATGCATTTTTCCATGTAGAAATGTTGAATATGGGTGGGGGTGGTGGGAGGGATACCGGGATCATTGGTGGTGGAGAATGGGCACTGGTGAAGGGATGGGTACTAGATCATTGTATGACTGAAAAGCAAGCACGAAAGTTTGTAAGTCTGTAACTGTACCCACGGTGATTCATTAAAAACATAATAATAAAAATGAAAAACAAGTTAAAAAAAGACATATTGAATCGGGTGTTATGATTTTAAATTCCATTTTCGTTTTATCTTTTTGGAAACTCATTATCTCACAAAGCTGCAGTACTCTGATACTCACAGGGCCAAAAGCTCTTTTCTTCCATGCTTTAATTTTAAGAAACGAAGCCTGGCCATTGCACAGACCTGCATTCGCCATAGACCCATGGCACTCACAGCTTTCCTCATTGCAGTGGATGAAGAGTGAACTTGTTCCATTTCATGCAGACTTTTGGTGTCTCTCATCACTTCTGAGTGTTCAAAATCTGCATCTGCACACACCCATTGTTATTGTTTTTTGGTTTTTTGTTTTGCTCTTTGGGTCACCCCAGCAATGCACAAGGGTCTTTCCTTGCTCTGCACTCAGCAATTCCTCCTGGCGGTGCTCTAGGGACCATATGGAATGCTGGGATTCGAACCCAGGTTGTCCGGGTGCAAGGCAAACACCCTACCCACTGTGCTATCACCCCAGCCCCACATTGTTATTGTTAATGCTGTTCTTGAGGCATCACAGCTTTGTCTTTTGTAGAGGTAGAAACTGTCTTAGTTTGTGGATGCAAAGCAGAGGGTGCTATAAACTAACGAAGGTTGTGACTTCCACATTCATTCAGCACACTGTTAAAATACAATTCATTTTATTTCAAATGAGTAGTTCACTAATGGGTGATCCCAATGTGTCCAGTTTTTCAAAAGACAGAAAGCCTCAGATGTAACAATATTTGGGTGGATACTAAGAGCTTCTCTCTATAGAACTAGTCAGTTATTGATGCTGTGTGTCTGCTATTAAGCTGTCAGCAACCTAGATGTGTAGGTAAAATATTTTTCACTAATGGCCAATTTGAGACCATTATACCTGTGTCTGATTCCAGCCTACCTTACTTCATGATTTTAATTTTGCATGATTTTGATGCACATCATTAAAGTGCTGATGGATCTGATTTTCTCATACATAAAACAATACCTTAAACTTGCCGAAAGGCTGATTATTATAGAGAGGTCATGCCACATATTCACAGACTGATCTAAATGTCTGGCATAGATTATAATACATTATAGCACTTGTCAGTATCATCCATTAAAAAACACAGGAAGTGAGCCTGCCTTTCCTCATTAAGACCCCAGCAGAATGTTGTATGTTAACTAGTGTAAAGAATTTTTTTGTATTTTCATTTTGATTTTAGTGAGGCATTATTTAAACATCATGATTTACAGAGCTATTCACATTGCTGTTTTCTCAGGTATTCAGTATTCCAACATCAATCCCACCACCAACATACTCCTCCCTCCACCAATGTCCCCAGTTTTCACCCACCCCCAAGTCTGCTCCCTTAGCAGGCATAAAATAGCTTATATTGCTCGTTACAACATATGCCTTGTAAAGGTGTTGCTAAAGTCATGGCTTGAGAATTTACTGAGTTGTTTGGTGTGAGTTGAACCTTCTGTATTATTCTATCTGTTCACTGAGCTTAGTGGGCTTCTACTCAGTTTTTCCATCGAATTTTCTGTGCTTCTACTGGGCTGTCAGTCTGTGAAATTTGGAGGTGTTGCCCAACCAGACACTGTAGGAGCTTTGGTGCTGGAATGATCAGTAGATGCATAAAGAAAGAAATTTTTAATAGAAATATCTGCCCAGACTTTACAGCCCTCATTGAGTGCCTTTTATGTCCTAAATGAATTCAGGCAGCCCTGAACATGTGGAAATAGGAGAAAATTGTCCAAATGGAAGGCAAATAGTTTGCAAAGAGTAATATTGTCTTTTCCAAGAAGGGATCTATGTTCAGTTCTCATGAGATCGGGGGACACTGACTGCCATTCCCCTCAAGCAGAGTCAAATTCGGGATTTACCATGTTCTTCAGAGTGAATAAGGCTTTGTAGAAAACTGATAACTGATTGGAAATTTATGTATATAAATGCAATAAGAGGGTTTACCTTGACTGATAGCTGATCCTCCTTCTAATTTCATGAAGATGTCACTCAACGTTGACATGGAAACATCATAGCTTATCACACCCTGGCCAGCGCCCTGTTCCAGATCACTGAAAAGCTCTAAGGCAACACAGCAAATAAGACACAATGGAAATACTTGATCTATGACTAGACAGTAAATTAGTATATTTAAGAGATGATGCAGAATACTGTTCAGGATATGTGTCTTTGAAAGAGCACAAAAAGCAAAAGCAAAGTTTTATTAGAAAGCTCTTTATCTTTGAAATGAAAATGTCAGAATTTTTCCCCATTCTGTCCTCAAACTATTCACATTCCATCTTCTATTTTCAGTTCTCAAATATTCTTCAAACAATCTGGGGTGAATGAGACCTGTCAGAAAGAAGTCTGTCTCTCACCTCTACATCACAAACTAACATACACATTTGTTGTTGATCCTACCAAGGTTTAACTCTGATTTGTGTTTTTTTTAAAAATGGGCTGGAGCGATAGCACAGCGGATAGGGTGTCTGCCTTGCACGCAGCCAACATGGCCGACCCGAGTTCAATTCCTCCGCCCCTCTCGGATAGCCCGGCAAGCTACCGAGAGTATTTGATATGCCAGACACAGTAACAACAAAGTCTCCAATGGAGACGTTACTGGGCCCGCTCGAGCAAGTCGACAAAAAATTATTTAAAATTTATTTTTATTTTGGGGGCCACACCTGACAATTCTCAGGTGTTTCTCCTACTTGCACTAAGGAAACATTCCTGGTGGTGCTTGAGTGACCATATGGGATACTAGGGATAGAACACAGGTTGGCTGTATGCTAGGCAAGTGCCCTACCCAATGGACTATCTCTCTAGCTCCTATTTCTGTTCTGATTTCCTCCAGTGTCTCAGGACTCAATCTATGTACACTCTTCCAATTCCTTTACATTAAAGCCTCTGATGCTGATGATTCCACATTTCATTCTCACTCTGTCCTCTTATTTCCAATGTTCTATAGCCAACTGCATATTCCTGGTCACTGACATCCTAAATTGGGAGTCTTAAAGCATGTGTAAAACACATATTTCCAAATTAGAGCACAAATTTCTCCTGCTCTATCTATCTGACCCACCATTTCACAACAAATGGCACCAACTTCCACCCAGCCTTCCAGTCAAAATTCCAGAAGTTCCTCTTAAATCCTACATTTCCTTATGCTCCATAAATTGGTCACTGAACAGATGTTTTTGCTTCAAAATGTGTATCAAATGCACACATTTCTATCAAGCATTTGTAGACCAAAGTAGCCCAATTGAAAAGTTTTATCTATACATCCAAAATGGTAATTTAGCCATACTAACCAAAATGATTGACTTCCCAATGTCTACTCTTGTTCATCCATGATGACATTTCATATCCAGAGAATGCAAATATAAGTTTCAACACACAAATCTCCCATTTAATGACTTCCCATAGTTTCTTGATACATTTTAAAATATCAAAGACCACATCACATCACAGATTCTGATGCTCTACTTGAGTGAACTCTATTGTTCTGCCTGATTTTGTCAATGAGAAAGTCAAGACACAGACGGGGAGTAGGACAGAACTTGATTTCGGTGCAGTGGGTTCAGAGGTCGAGATGGGTCTGGGTCACGGGACTCTAATCCACTGACAAATATTCAAAAACTGATGTTGTAGTTATACTCTGAAACTACATTCCAAAGTGTTGAAGCAAGATTAACAACAAATTTTGACTTATGTTTAAAAAAAGATGTTTTACAGCCATCCATCAATAAGGCTTAACTACAGTTACAGCCATGCCTCACATAGGGCAAATTGTCCTTTTGCATAGCTCAGGATAAGCTTTTGCAACCCTTATCAGAGACGGTTGTACTTCTCATGATCTGTTAGGGATTCACCCCAGGGTCTCTTAGCCAGCGCTCTTAAATTGCTCTTAAATTTTTTGGGTCTAACTCTTACAAACTTTTAAACCTTCCTTGATCCTACAGTATATGGATGATGTTTTCTTAAACTACATGGTGTTACAACATATTCACTGTATCACTGTATCACTGTATCACAATCCCGTTGTTCATCGATTTTCTCGTGCGGGCACCAGTAACATCTCTATTTCTCCCAGCCCTGAGATTTTATCAGCCTCTTCTAACTCATCTCTTCCCAATGATTAGAGGCTCTTTCAGGGTCAGGGGAATGCCATTACTGTTTTTGGCATACCGAATATGCCACGGGGAGCTTGCCAGGCTCTGCCCACGCAGGTGGAATATTCTCGATAGCTTGCCGGGCTCTCTGAGAGGCATAACAGCATATTATAACACATAACTTTAATGTGAAAATTAAAGAAAATTTGGTACATAACACTAAAATCCTACCCATTCCCCAATTACCATTCTCCTCTCTGAATTCTCAATATGCCAGACACTCTAATTTTCCCTCTATATGGATTTTTTTTGCCAGTTTCTTTCAGTTGTCTTCTATGACCTCTACATCAACCCCAAACTGACAACAGTTACCTCTAACTCCTATGACTCTGTTTACAATATTTTTTATACAATTACAATGCTTTACTTTGTTCTCTGATTCCACCATTCCCCACTCCATGGAATGTAGGATCCATAGAAGTAGGGAATTGTATGTCTTATTTAATTCTATATATCTAGTTATGAAAAGAATAAGCTTCCCCAAAAGCTTTTATAGTGTGTCTTCTCCTAGGTGAATACTTGAAAAGGTGTATCTTTGTGAGGCCTCTCACAACTCACCTTCTCAATTAAAGTAAAATACAAGGCTAACAATAGTAAGTACCTGGAGGGTGGTAGTTACCATTCCCTTCCCTGCTATACTCACCAATATACAGCAAACCTGCATGAAGGCATTCTTCTGGACTTCTAAGCACGCTAATGAGTCAGAAGGGTTAGAAATTTAACACTTCTGCAAGCATCTCTTAGCCAGTGGTGGTTAAGGAAGGTAAACAAACATTCTTCATTTTTCACCACTCCTGAGGAGATTAGTCTGAGTGGATTTATTTATTTTCTCATTTCTTTCTTCCAGTGCTTTAAGACCTGAATAGCTTGGAGCTATAAATTACTTTGGTATGTACATTCACCTGGTTTCCTTCCCTTACCTCTCTTGTTCCCTCCTCTTACTGGTTCTTTGGGACATCAACTACCAAATACATTTATTGCACTAAAACTCCTCTTAAGTTCTGCAACTGAAAGAAACTAACAGAAAACATAATTCCAATCCGTTCAACAGTGAAAAATGTAGCAGTCGGTAGATACTTATCCGCAAATTACATTCCATGCTAATCATATTTAAGTTACCTGGAAATGCGTTTGTTCTTTCCAAAGGCAATGCATATACAAGTTTTTCTTTGCCTTTTGCTTTTAATTTAGCTTCAGGGATGTGAGTATTAATAAAAGATGTCATTTTTTCTGGATCACATAATTCATTTCTGTACAAACTAATATTGAAAAGAAAAGAAAATTCATTTGCATTTTTTTCACTGCTTCCACAAAAGAAGTTTTTATTGAATGTATAAACTTTGAGTACTCCTTTATTTGGCTTCGTGGAAAAATAAATGATATAATTGAAACTATGTATTACACATGAAGATAAACATAGAGAGGAGAGAACACGAAGCAGAAGAAATTTCTCAGAGAAATTATTACACCAGACTGTATAGAATCTGGTAGTAAGTAGTAAGTAGTAAATTTAACAAATATATATGGCTTTTTGGCTACAGGATATAATCTTTTGCAAATTCCTTTAGCCTGAACATACTTTCCACTTCACTGTTTGCTGCCTGACTTACTTCCATTTTTTTGGTACTAGTGCCTGAAATTATTTGACTGTGTGCCTTATGCAAGAATGAAAAGATATAGGATTACATGGCTCAGCTCAGTGGGGAGAAGGAAAAATCTCTGGCTACACAGAGAATTGCCTAGATACTGATAGTATAGCAGCCCTGAAGAGAGAAGACGGCCTGAGCCGATGGTCTGGAAATGCTGCCTCCCATTAGCATCAGTTAAGATGCACCGAAGTGTAGCTTCTGGGAGAACATTCATGAAACACTGTCTACTTAGTGCAGTGGCAAGGAAGCCTCAAGCCAATTCTCTCTCATAGTTGTCCATCTTTGTATACACAGTGTTGAAAGAATCTATATCAAATATAATGCATTGAAACTACTGTCAATATATTGCATGTAATACATTAAAATACATGCGTCCAACCCATCTCCCAAGTTTTTACCTCAAGTTATAGCCAAGACCCCATCTTCTCTTCAAAAACACAGATGAGCCTGCACACTTCAGTCTTCCATCAGACATGATTAGTTTTCTATCTGAGTCCAAAAGAAGCAAAAGAAAAAGAATATTGGGGGCTAGAACAATAGCATATCGGGTAGGATATTTGCTTTGCACATGGCCGACCCGGGTTCGATTCCCAGCATCCCATATGGTCCCCAAGCACTGCCAGGAGTAATTCTTGAGTGCATAAGCCAGGAGTAACCCATATGCATTGCCAGTTGTGACCCAAAAAGCACAAAAAAAAGAAAGAAAAAGGATATTAGTAGTCATTTGATACCTCTCTGAAAAACATAGATGAAGTTTTAGATGGTATAACTATATCTAATGTGCATCTAAAAATTGGAATAGATAGAAATCTTTATTTCATTAAAATGAGCTTATAAATTCCAGCTAACCAGGTGCCTTATCACATTTCTTGAAAAACTAAGCAATACAAAACACAAGTTCTTTGGACATATATTCTATTTTGGATGCTAAAGAATGATTATTTTCTAACTAAATATACTAAAAAAGATCTGGCTGGTTAAATTAATGTATACATGATTTGGAAAAAAATAACTTTCTTTTTTTGCCGAATTGTAATTTACCCAGTGTACAGAGGGTAAGGAATTCTATCTTGGGAATGGATTCCTTTCATCCCCAGACTACTAGAGATTAGAGTCACTCCCAGGGAAAGAGAACAGAATTCTTGCCCTGGGAATAAACATTTTACAAATACTCTATTTTAATACAGATAAAAACAGATATTACCAGCCAAGATGTCAGCCTCATCCATGAAATTGGTACTCAAAAGGACCACACGGCCCTCTTTGCGCTCTTTGAGGAAAGTCCATACTTGTTGCCTTGAAAATGGATCCAATCCCACAGTTGGCTCATCTAATAATAAGACCTACAGAGATGACCATACATAAAATAGGTGTCTCTCCTACCTTAACTGTTGCCACATGGTAACACAGTATTGCTATAAAAATAAATAATCCTCAACTGGGTCAGAGAGAAAGGCTAGGACTAAAGTATTTGCCTTGCATGTGACTGATCCTGGTTCGAACCATTAGACTGTATATGCCAAACACCACCATGACTGATCCCTGAGCACAGAGCCTGGAGTAAGCCCCATCACCACTGAGTGTGTCCCCAAAACAACATTTAACAGGAAAACCCACCCCTAACCCATAATAGCTGTCCAACCATCTATGTCTAATACACAAGTATTCTTATGTTCATAGACTGCAGGTTGTATCTTGACACTCCACAATGAGAAATCTACTACTTTTACTGGTGAAAGAAGAGCTTCACTTCACTGCTGTCACCTGCCTTCATCCTCGTGCACAATCTCACTTACCTGGGGATCTCCTAAAATGGCAATCCCAAAGGTCAGCTTTCTCTTCTGTCCGTCATTCAAATGTTGAGCAAAGTGATCCTGCATGTTTTGTAAGCCCAATTCCAATAAAACTTTTTGTACCTTACAAGAAAATAAACAAACCTTAACATCCAAAATGAGTTCATTCTGGGACATCTAATCATTGTAATAGAAGTGTATTTTTCTATACGATAGTATGGCATGAAGTTGATCTGAACAGGGCAAGCCCATCCCAGGGGGGCTTTCTGTTCTTATGGTTCCACGTGGTCAATGATTGGCAGCTCCGCGGACACCCCATCCCCACCCCCCATGCACATATGCCCACTGACCTCTTGTTCCACTGCTTGTGGTAGAATCCCTCTGATTTTAGCAAATAGTCTGAGGTTTTCCTTGACTGTGAGACTATCAACTTGGACATTAAACTGTGGACAAACACCAATTCTCTTTCTTATATCCTCCAAGTCTTGCACTTCAGAGATATTTTTATTGTAGATAGTAACTGATCCTAAAGTAAAAGTTACAAATAATGCAGCTGGCAAGAAAACAGCTTTGGCAAATGCTTGGTGAACTTAATCAGGAAAAAATGTTGGTATGTGCTCACAAATATCTAAAATTCTGACTTCCCAATTTATTGACAGTTATTTATTATTATTACATACTCAGAATAGTGTATACCAGCATGGAATATCACACAGAGGGGAATAAAGTTAATGTGTCTCCTTAAAATAATGTAAAATGTAAAATTTACTCAAAAACCTATAGTTCTGGTAAATATTAGATGAACATTTTCTTTTAAGCAATCATATTTAGGTCTTAAAATGAATCATCACAATGGAGTACTATGTAGCTGTTAGAAAAGATGAAGTCATGAAATTTACATACAAGTGGTACAATATGGAAAGTATCATGCTAAGCGAAATGAGTCAGAAAGAGAGGGATAGACATAGAAAGATTGCATTCATCTGGGGGATATAAAATAACAAAATATGAGAATACCCAAGAATAGCTGAGATCAGCACCAGGAGGATTACTCCATAGCTTAGAGGCCAGCCGGGCATTCTAGGGGAAAGGGCAGCTCAGGTAGAGAAGGGAGCACCAAATAAAGGGTGTTTGGAGGATCCTCCCAGAGGAGAGATGCATGTTGAAAGTAGACTATGGACTGAACATGTTTGCCACTCAATGCCTCTTTTGCAGACCACATCACCCAAAAGGAGAGAGAGAACCAAAGGGAATGCCCTGCCACAGAGGCAGGGTGGGATAGGGGGGATGGGGGTGGGAGGGATACTGGGGTCCATGGTGGTGGAAAATGGGCACTGGTGGAGGGATGGGTATTTGATCATTGTATAATCAAAACCCAAGCACAAAAAATTGTAAATCTACAACTGTACCTCATGGTGTTTCACTAATAAAAATTTTTAAAAAATGAGTCATATATATAACTCCATTGTCAATGTGTTCTCAAACAAATGACTTCCTTTCCCCCTTTAGGAAATTTGTTTTTGCTCACCTTCTGTTGGAACAGACAATCCACTGAGGACATTAAGTAATGAAGATTTGCCAGCTCCACTACGTCCCAGAATTGCTGTGATTTCACCTTCATATATGTCCAAGAACAAGCCTGTTTTTAGAATAAAATATTATAAGTAAGGGCCATTATATAGGTCTAGTTTTGAAAATAGAACAAGAGAATTTATCTTCACTTTGTATTTTCAAGCATTTCCATAGTTTAACAAATAAAATTTTCAGTATTTTCTGCTTTCTACAATAATATGCTTGCACTAGAAAATTTGAAAATGCAACACAATCATTTTCTAAAACGCTATTGATCCTAATTTCGAGTATTAGAATACACTCATTTCCAGTATAGACAGGTATGAGTATCAAATACATTTTGTGAGAACTGAAGGTGAATCTCTGAGTCCTTGTGGGCTGCACCTGTGATCCTATGAGCAACATCGCACCAGGACCAGTGACTCAACTGGTTTCTGGCAATGACAAATGCCTTGGGAGAATTTCATTAATTCCTTAAAATCAATCTGATGGCTCTTATTTCTGTGCACCTGATCTTATTTCTGCCTCACCTCTGGACTACTACCTGTTGAGCTTCTGGGATGGCTGCTCCCAATTGCTTTCTTGAGAATAGTTATCCCCCGTGATCTCATAAGTGCAATGGTGCCCTGCCTGGGCTATGTTCTACCTTTCCCAGTTTTTTCCTGACACAATGAGTACAGGCATAAAGCTGTTTTATTTTTGGAGGGGTGCAGAGGGATCTTTTGTACTTGCTGTCCTCTGACAGGCTGAAGAATAAGTACTGTAAGTCTCCACCACAAGCCCGTTGGATGGTCCAGCAGTTGGACTTGGGGGGCCAGGTGACCCATCATTGCAGAACTGAGATTATGAGCATAGGGGAACTAAGGCTGGGGCTCTACCCGGAAGTGCTCACCTCCAGAGTGACTGCTCACAGCCCTGGCCAGTGTGGTCACACCATCCTACGTTGGATTTAAGAAGTCCTGAGGAAGTCCAATACAAAACTCAGGAAATTCAATATAAATTCTGTGAAAAGTCTGATGGTTCAGCAGGAAGCAGTCTGGTGGTATCAGGACTGAACTGTCTGGTCTCTAGACACATGACTGTTGTGGGCAGAGAAGACACTGCAATCCTATTGGCTGTGGCTCCCCTTGGGAATGAAGGCTCCCCTCTCACACTCGGGCCCTGTGTTGTGCTGCTGAGACCTGAGCAGATATAAGACTGATGCTCTCTGAGTCTTTCGTGTACAGCTGCCTCCCCCACCATGCTTGCCCTTGTTGGTGTTTTCAGCCAGGTACCAGACTTGCCATCCTTGTTCTCCTCCAGTTTCTGCTCCTCCCCTTCCCAGAGCTCTGTAAGGGGACTGAGCTCGCAGAACATTTCCGTTTTATTCATTATTTGTGTTGCTGGCACAGGAATGCTCATAGAACTGTTCCTTTTTTCCCCCCTTTTAACCATCTTGACTTTAATTTTAAATCCCAATGTTCTTTCCTTGAGGCTCAAAGACAATAAAATGTGGTTTATAAACAAACTTGTCTTTTAAACAATAAAGTTGTCATACTTTTCATTGTGTGATCCCATTATTGAAAGTTAATAGACCCGTGACACACCTGGAAGGATTTTGCATCTAGTATTCAATCTCCCATTGTTCATCGATTTGCTCGAGTGGGCACCCGTAACGTCTTACAACAAACTGTGAGACTTGTTGTTACTGTTTTTGGCATATTGAATGTATCAAGGGGAGCTAGCCAGGCTTTGCCATGCGGGTGAGATACTCTCAGTAGCTTGCCGGGCTCTCCAAGAGGAGCAGAGGAATTGAATCCGGGTCGGCCATGTCGGCTGCGTGCAAGGCAAATGCCTTACCCACTGTGCTATCGCTCCAGCCACATCTAATCATCACAATGAAATCTTTTCCTTACCTTTCAAAGCTTCCACTTTTCCAGACTTTCCTTTGTATTCTTTTATAACATTTCTGATTCTGAAATAACAGAAGAAATGAATGTTTACATCGACCACTGTTTACGAAACAAGGGATGGCATAACTACCCTACTCAGAAAAAGATGAATTTAAACATTTTCCTGAGACTGTGTCTCTTTAGGAAGTTATCATTAAACTATTAATGTTTTGCCTAGAAAAATAGAAGGCTCTATTAGGAGCCACACTTTCTTCTAGTTTTAGAAAACGGGTCCCCCAAATCAGTTCATTAATAATATGAAAAATTAGCCAGCATCCTTTATCTCTTCTAATTGTAGTCATCGATAAAACTCTCTGCCACCTTCATTCTCTATAGTTTTATTTCTTAGAGCATCTTTTTGATCACTAACTCTGCTATAGATCTTGACGAATTTTTCTACTTTGTCAAGAAAACAGTTCTCAAAAAGTATAACTTTAATAATTCAAACATAAAAGGTGTCAAGATGACAGCTGGGGCTGAGGTCGGGGTGTGGGGGAAGGCGGGTTGGAGAGGGAACCTGGGAACACTGGTGAAGGGAAGTTTGCACTGGTGGCGGGATGGGTAACGGGACATTAATGTCTAAAACACAACTATTAATCACTTTGTAACTCATGGTATTTAATAAAATAGAACTTGGAGGAGAAAAGTACAACTTTGGTATTTTCATTTTTTTACTTCTCAGCTCAATCAATGGCACTCTGGCTTGTGAACCTCATCATTTGGAAGTCATTTATGATCTCCTAATTACCAAACTCAACAAATATTCTTCCATCCTGTCTTATTAAATGATGGTTTCTGCTATTGAGTTTCTCTTCACTGAAAGCATCTGTCCTTTTTTCTTCTAAATGTTACTTCCTTGTTTCCCTACAACTTCCTCTATTTTCCACAGGATTCTCTATGTCTAACGTGAACATTTTCAGGCTGAACCCTCTTATTTAAGGTTATTTAATTGATATTCATGGTTTCAATACAGACTAAATGTTGATCTCAACCTTTTCCTCTGAGATTCAGCCTTGGATAGATCTGAGATGCCATGATTATAAAATATAACGCACAATGTATCTTCAAGGTCAGGGAATTCTTCTGAGCATGAATCAGACTGAAATAAAAAATTCAACAGTGATGCTAGTTATGGGTGGGTTATGCCGAAGATAAAAACTTAGGGAAAGGTTCAAATTTTGGCACTAAATCTGATTTGGTATTTTATTCCTGAATATTTTTGTGCATTGAGTCACTCATTGAATAGGGAGTTTATTTTAATAAGTAAGCAGTTATTTAGGAGTAGCTGATATTGCCTGGTTTCAATAATGAAAACAACCATTAATTTATGCTTGGAATCTGCCTTTGAACTATGTTCTGGAAATGCTGCAAGAATGGTCTAAGTCATAAGAAAAGAGGTAACTGCAAAGAAATACAACTGAGAAGAGAAGCAAGGGAGGCAATGGGAAAGAGGGCATACAAAAAGGTAATTTTATAGACCCAAGATCTTCATTTTCGTATCACTGCAAGTATTCATACTTCTGATTCACAAAGTTTATGGGTTTCCAGGAGGAGAATTGATGAGTTCAGAGAACAGAGACTGCTTGGAGGAAGGGAAACCTACAGCTGTTCAAAATCACTTTCCCATGTTGGGATTGGCATGAAGAGCTCTGACACTTGTGGTGGTGGGAAAGATCAAAGAGGATGTTCTAAAGAAAGGGTGGGTGTGAAGAGAGGAGAAATAGGATGGGGACTGTGCATGGTGTTGGAGGTAAAGGTTGATTTGAGGTTGAAGTACAATCCCAGAACCTGCTTTCATAGTAGGTGGGTATAGTCCTTTTCCCTGAAATACAGGAAGTCTCAGCCCCAGACCTCCTTCTGGAGAATCTAGACTTAGAGAGAGGGACGCACAGAATGAACACCACAGAAACAATTTGCTGTTGGCAGGTATGTGGAGGGTGGCAACATGAAGCATTCTACCTTTCTCTCCTTTGCTGCAGTAGAAGAACAAAGAGTAACATATACCTAGGTAATAAAACCAAACCTAGACTTTTCTTTAGAATATTGGACTATTAAATGAAAATATTTTTAATCATTTTATTTACCGGATAAAACTGCGTGGGTGGTCGTGCGAGAGTGCCAGCTATCCTGAGCTTCGGAAGGAACCAGCTACTAGATGGTTCAATTAGTCTTTCGCCCCTATACCCAGGTCAGACGACCGATTTGCACATCAGGACCGCTACGGACCTCCACCAGAGTTTACTCTGGCTTCGCCCTGCCCAGGCATAGTTCACCATCTTTCACACACCATAGTTCACTCAAACGCAGCACAGCAGTAGGGCATTTGCTTTGCACGCAGCCAACATGGCCGACCCGAGTTCGATTCCTCCACCCCTCTCGGAGAGCCCGGCAAGCTACCAAGAGTATCTCGCCCGCATGGCAGAGCCTGGCAAGCTCCCTGTGACGTATTCAATATGCCAAACACAGTAACAACAAAGTCTCCAATGGAGACGTTACTGGGCCCGCTCGAGCAAATCGATGATCGACGGGAGGGCCTTTACTTTTTTTACTTTACATTTTATTTAATTTTAAAAATCATGTCAGACTGGAGAAATATTATAAGTGCTAAGAAACTTGCCTTGGTGTGGCCAACCTCAGTTTGATATCTGGCACTCTACAGGGTCCCTTGAGTACCTCCAGGAGTCACCCTTGAGCACAGAAGCAGGGGTAGCCTCTGTGTATTGCAGAATGTGACCTTAATCTTCCTACCCAAATCATTTTATTTTTCTCTACTCTCAACTGCTAAAGAGAGGCTATGGGCATTGGACATGAGTTCAGCGGCATTATTCCTCATTTGTTTTTTCTCTTGAAAGAGAGAGAAACGTTGTGCTTCCCACTGAGAGTTTTATCTTATCTGGCAGCTCTGCAGTACCCAGATGTCAAAAACAATAGACTATGGAGCCAGATGGTGTTCTAATCTCAGTACCCCATTTACAAGGGTGTGTGATACTGCACAAGATACATTGCATTTCAGTATTGTGAGCTATTCTTTAACTTCAAGGTAGCACTGTAGCACTGTCCTCCTGTTGTTCATCAATTTGTTCATCGATTTTCTTGAATGGACATCAGTGCCGTCTCTATTGTGAGACTTATTACTGTTTTAAAGATATCAAATACACCACAAGGAGCTTGCCAGGCTCTGCTGTGTGGGCGGGATACTCTCGGTAGCTTGCCGGGCTCTCCGAGAGGGTCGGAGGAATTGAACCTGGGTTGGTCACATGCAAGGCAAACGCCCTACCCACTATGCTATCAATCTACATAAAAAAATGTACAGGACATCTTCAATGTTCAGAGGTCATTGGATTTAAACCCAGTGGGTTCATAGTTCTGTGTTTGAATCACTGAAGGGAGGGTCTGAGAGAGCAGTTAATTTGAAAATTCCTCCTCTAAATCTGTTACAAGTAACCCTACAAAGAAGATGCTACTTTTGTTTCACAAAGGATACTGAAACTCAGAAATGTATTTATTTCTCCATGATAGCATATCAAATGAGAGGGGAGTATGGTACCGAGATATGAAAATTTCTGATTCAAAATTTCTTCTTCTATCCTTCCTGGGAAGCCCAGCAAAACTATGGGAGAAGAAATATGTGGCAGAGAATAGAAAATATAAAAGAGAAGTGGGTGGACAACTGAGTGAAACAGGAAGTAAGGCAAGATGGAGCTTGATGAGCAACATTATATAGAGCTAGGCAAAGAGTATTTTTCTTCGGTGATGATGGTCAGGGAAAGTTTTGAAGTGATGTTCAAAAAATCCTTTCCCTCTGTAATATTTGTCTCAGTCTCCAGTTGCTTAATAACTGGAATATTGGGGAGGGAACTAAAGTACAAAGGATAGGGTGCTGCCTTGCATACTGCTGATCCAGATTCAATCCCTGGAAACCCATGAGGTCACCCTGGTCCCTGAGTTCAGAACTCAGAGTAAGCACTGAGAACCTTCAGGTTTGGTCCCAAACCAGAAAATAATAATAATAACAACAACAATAGATTCATTAAGATTAATTGAATATTGACTCTTTAACCTTATACACTTATATTAGTACCTGTGGTTACCTGATAACTTCTTTTCCTTGATATTCTGGAGGTATTGGCTCAAAATAATCATCAGGTGGGTGCTCAGTATCTATTTCCTTCTCAATAACCTTATGATTAGTCCTTTGATGTTGGAAACAAGATGATGAATTCAGGAAAAATAATGGAGAATAATGGCTCTTATTTCCATCTAATTAATTGGGAGGCAATAAAACATTGGATCAGTAGAAAAGAGTACACAAAGAAGTTTTGCTCAGATAAGAGCAGAAAGTCTTGGTTTTTTCACCATCATGAGAAATTAATTTCTTTCTGACACCCCATTATTAAGGGGAGAAATATTGACAATGAAACAATGACAAGTCAAGGCAATAGTTACAAAAATTAGGTAATAGAATAAAACTTCAACAAAGGATAAATCAAATGTTTGTATTAAAGGTGATCTAAAATATACTTAGAAGAATGAATAAAACAAAGTATTTGGGAAGAAAGATGGTATGGCACAAAAAAATAGTTGAAGACATGTTTGTGAACATAAATTGTCCTGCCAAAATGCAATTAAATCAAATACTATATATATATGTTATATTACATAAAATGGAGACAATATATTTATTCAATATGAGTATATAGTAATTCTCCAAATTTAAAATAATAAAAGATTTGCTATTAAGGACCTTCAGGTTATAACTGGAATTGTACGAGAAGAATACAAATAAACATATAGGAACATTTAAGACAAATTTAACTGCAGTAAAGTTGAAGAAATACAAAAAGTAAAATAAATTGTGCAATGAAAAAAATCATTTTGAATCTAGTGTGTGTGAAAAACATTGGGCTTGGGTAAAGTTTTTTGGTTATCTTGGGAAAGATTTTGAAAAATCTGCCTGGATAGTATAGTTCTGTAAATATAATAATGTATAAAGGTTTTCTAGAAAAATGGTGAGAACATCTTTTCTACTTTTAATTTTGTTATTTCATTTAAGGATACACATATCAAATGGTCCTCCCAGAAATGGGAAAATAAGAAAGACATTGACTAATTTGCATCTGAGGTCCTTTGTAGGTTTTTCATTGACATTTTTGTCCATTCTTGTAAGAACAAATATTTATTAGGAAGCATTTCTGCCATACAATGGCTTAAATTAACCAAAAGTAGCTTAAGAACTAATTAGTCTTACTATATAATGATACAAATTTCATAACTCACTCTTTGAAAACACTTTCAGAAAGTGATACTGTGTAACTGACATATGAGATATAATGATCATTATTACGTATTTCCTGCAGTTATATTAAAGCAAAAATATAATTCTTTATACAAAAATTTATTCAGAACTTGAAATCTATGAAATTGAAGAAGTCAGTCAATCAAAGATAAAAAATACTTGTCTGACTTTATTTTAAATATATATTTATATTATTTTAAGGAAAAATCTTCAATGGGATTAATACCTATAGAGTTGAGAAAAATACACTATTTACTTACAAGGTAAGAGTTTGTCAAAGTATAAAGCCAATACCAAGTACAAAAGGGCAACAAAAGCCAATACAAAAAATGTTGCAATCATTCTATAGGAGTATCCTGAAGGGTCAGGAAAATTTACACCACTCATATTGTATTCCTGATGAATAATCTAAGAATCAAACAGAAATAATAATTAGCATTTAAATTAAACAAATAAAAAATAATTCAGTGTAGCAGAGAAAAATAATTTTATTTTTAAGTAGCTTTTCTGAGAAGCTCTTTTAGTGGTGTTATTAAGTTGTTTTATCTTACAGAAATCAAAGAAATATTAGAAGAAAATACTGAATTAAAAAATAAAATGTTAAGACTAGGCTAGACTTTGTATTCTAACAACAGAATGGTGATGATCAGAGGGAAAGAGTTATTGAGAGTAGAATAAACAGAGAATCAATTGGATGATGAAGGGTGGAAATTCAACCTTTCATGGTGGGTGGGATGTTGTAAATATGGCCATCTAGATCATACTTTTACATAAAATTTATACTCAGTTGCAGAACAAATTACCTCTGTAATAATACTTGTAATGAAACATACTGTTCTGAAATAGGAATTTAGGTCATAATTCATTTGCATGTTTTCATAAAATCATTGCAACATTACAAAATATCCATTCTACATAAGAAAGAAATACAAATTTTAAACTAAAAAACATTCTTTGAAGCTTCTTGGGATAATTATTATAAAACATTTTTCCAGGCATTACTACCAGTAAATATTTATATTTGTAATTTTCTATGCATAAATTGCTACTATATTTTAAGCACTATCTAAGGGCTTTTTATCTTATCCCATTTCACTCACATCATAATCTATAGGTAGGCCTGATTGTTTTTATCTGTGTTTTACATATGGTGAAAAAGTATAGAAAAAAGTTGAGTGTCTAAACCAGATGAAGTGAAAATCACATCGTGAGCAAGGTCAACTATTGAAATATGATGACTTTTCGCAGAGTATCAATGATCGCCAACAACCAAAATATCAATTTATTTGTTTGAATAAGAAAATCAATAGTGCCTTAACATGATAGAATAGTGCCCTTTTACTATAATGGAAACTTCATCTGACATCCAAAACTCAATATTAAATTATGCTTTATACAATATGATATTACGCTAATACAATATAACTCATCCAAAGTGACCGATAAAAACTGTGAGATTAATAAAAAATAAGTCTTAATTTAAAAAAAACTGTGGGACTAAAACTTTTAAGAGGAAGAATTGTTTAGAGGAGTTTCTGGAGCTGTGGCAATGTCCTGTTTCTTTTTTGTTTGTTTGTTTTTGTTTTTGTTTGGGGACCACATTTGGCAGTGCCGATGACTATTTCTGGCTTCGTGCTCAAGGGTTATTCCTGGTAGTGCTCAGGAACTATATATACAATGCCAGGACTCAAACCAAACTCAACTTCATACAAGACGACCAGCTTACTTCTTGTACCCTCTCTTTAACTCAATTACCCATTTTTTTTCGTTTACTTTGGGACCACACTGGGTAACGCTTAAGACTTACTCCTGGATCTGTGTTCTTGGTGACTATATAAGGTGCCAAGGATTAAGCCAAAGTTGTCAGCATGCAAAGCATGCACCTTACTCTGTTCTCTCTCGAATTTGGATTCAAGATTTTCTTACTCAAATTTCCTTGTCAGATGACTGTGTGACAACATTTACACATTTAGCTTAGAGACCTTAAAAAGAAATTTCTTACTCTACAAGCGTTTTCATTATGGGTAAGTATAAGGCATTTGATAGTCCTGAAGGCTCAATAACATACCATTGACTTATGCTCTTACCTGAGTCATTCCAGAAATAAAGGCAAAGGGGCTAAAAATGCACAAAATCCACTCCAAGGATGAGGGGAGTTGCCTGTAATATACTGTAAACCCCACACCTCCCCAGAAGATGGTGAGGGCAAATATCACCAAATTTGTGAGGGCAGTTCTCTTGATCAGCACACTCATTAGGAACGTTAACATTACCTGAAAGGCAGAGAAGACGCCCAGCTGTTAGATATATCCACTTCACCAAGAGTCACTGTCAGCACAATAAAATAAGGATCTTTGTATCATTGCATTTAATGTCAGTGTGACAGTAACAGAAATACTAAGATAGAAATATGCTCCATCCTTCTGTTGATCCCTTTGTAAAGAAGGCCCTTTGTCCTACTCAAACCTGGGCTTTATGCTAAGAAAAAGTGGGAAAGAGCTAATTGAATTGGCTTTTTTTCCCTTTGACTTTCTGGGTCATACCCAGCGATGCCCAGGGGTTGCTTCTGGCTCTGCATTCAGGAAGAACTCCTGGTGGTGCTCAGGGGACCATACGGGATGCCAATGATCAAACTCAGGTCAGCCACATACAAGGCAAAACCCTCGCACTGTACTATTGCTCCGACCCCACTAATTGATTTGTTGAATAAAGGATAGAAATGCAGGCTTGGCACTAAAAGATTGTATTAAGGGTAAGCATCGATATAGCTTCTGCAGCAAGGATAGGGAATCTTTTTCTTCTGTCACGGACCATTTGGACATTTTTAGCATCATTCTCAGGCTGTACATTACAAGTAGATGGGTGACAGGAAGAACAAGAGAGAAGCATGTCCCATCATGCACCAGAGCCAGACCACATGATTTTAATGGCCAATAGATCACAAGTTCCCTACCCCTGCTCTGCAGAGAAGGAAGACAGGGATGGCATGGGAAGCCACAAAGTGGGATCTCAGAACCAGAGGTGATGCTTTGTAAAGCTACAATGTGACAAAGGAGTTGCAGGGGGAAAGAGTTGTACCCTTGAAGATTGTTTCCATTAATTATTTAGAAAGGGTTTTGGCTTATCTATCTATCGATCGATCATCTATCTATCTATCTATCTATCTATCTTTCATCTACCTATTGTTTGGGGGCCACACCTTGCAGTGCTGAAGGCTTACTTCTGACTGTACTCAAGATAACTCCTTGTCAGTTCTAGGGACCAAATACATTTCAGGGGCTCAAATCTGGGTCAGCTGCATGCAAGGTAAGTTTTACCCACTGTGGCCCCAGATTAGAGTCAAAATGTCCTTTTTTCTTTTTGTTCAGAGTTTTTGCCAGAACATCTTTTAAATTTTTAATTCAATTTTTAAGAGGTTTAATTTTATCATGTTTTTTTCAGTCCCAAAAGACACAGAGACAGACAAATCCCCCACCACCAACACCACCACTGCCACCACACATAGTATTGTTCAGGGATCTTGAACATTTTGGTGATGTAATATAGAGGTGAAGCAACTATGCATATTAAAACCATGAGTCAAGGCTAGGGAGGCATGTAACCCAAACTCTAATAGATAGATTCTTAAGATGAGTTTGCTAAGGAGTGGGGAGGGTTTGGGGAGACAGAAATACCGAGAGTCTTTGGTGGAGAAACACGACACTGGGGATGAATTTGGAGTTGAAGCAATGAATGTCTGAAACTCTATTATCAATATTTTTGTAAAAAACTGTGAGTCAGTTAAAATTTTACTTTTAGAATTTGCACACAAAAAGAAAGAAACTTTAAATAAGGTGACTATCTAACCTGCTAATACATTAAGCTTTGCTACACAGAACTCATCTAAAGCAGAGAAAGTAGTAATAAGTGCATAAACTTACCAAAGAGATGCCATATAAGAAAAAGAGTGTGAATATGATCATGAAACCCGTCAGGATTATAATGTTTGTAGTTGTTATGACAATTGTAATGACTATGGAAAAAATGAAAATGAAGGCAGCATACATTAACCCCCAGGAGAGCCTATACAAAGACAAAAAGTCATTTCAGTGATTATTTTAGCTTTACTATGAAATATTCTAAAAAGCCAATGATTAACCTTGTCCCAGCAACATAGATGAAGCATTTCATTATTTACAAATATTTATTGTCATAATTGAGCTGGTGCCTACTGTCTAGTGCCAACTGTATTCATGACTTATACACAGAGAATGAACATTGCCCAAATAATTTCATCATATTCATTTTTTTTATTAGTCAGTATATACGACATTATATTTTGTCACACTTTACTGTAACAGTCTATTCCAACGTGCTCCGATCCATGAGCATGCAGTTTATTTCTAATATTAATATCTAATACAGTGTTGCTAAGAACACTCTTGTCTTTGGAAAGAAAAGGTACAGTAATTTCTCTAAGGCAAAATTGCTGCATGAAAGCAGTTAAGAGTCTTGTTTCTCCATTTTTATCATGTATTATCTGTAGCACTGTCTGTAGCACTGTCCTCCCATTGTTCATCGATGTGCTCGAGTGGGCCCAGTAACATCTCCATTGAGAGACTTGTTGTTACTGTGTTTGGCAAATTGAATACATCATGGGAAGCTTGCCATGCTTTGCAAGATATGGGAGAGATACTCTCGTGTGGGCAAGATACTCTCGGTAGCTTGCTGGGCTCTCTGAAAGGGGTGGAGGAATCAAACCCGGGTCACCTGGGTTGGCCACATGCAGGGCTAACACCCTACTGCTGTGCTATTGCTCCAGCCCATGTATTATCTAAGTGTTCTAATTGTTGAGTTGGAAGGAAACTTAACAATGGCTAGTTAATCAAGTAACAACAAAAACATTAGAAACAGTTGATAGCCATTCTTATCAACCATATCTCAACCAATTCAAGTCCATTTTCTATAGTAGGAGATCATCAAACTGTCATAACTCTACTAAGTCCTTTCCATTATTTCTTTGACTATCCATCATTCCTTTATTTAAATTGATACATATTTATACAAATTAATTTAACAAATGAATAGCTTTAAAACAAAATGAATCACCTTCAATACTATACTATGTTAAAGTTAATCATACAGAATATGCTGATAAATATAAATTTTTCACGCAAACTGATATTAATTATGGCACAAAAGTCTTCACTACTTTGATTTAGATGTACTACTTCACATTGTTAGGGAGTAGCTATTAATAATCATTAATCATATATCTAAAAATCCAATGTTTTCATCCAAACTTCTCATTTTATTGATTATAAAAATGAAGTCTATGATTAATGAATGGGTCTAATCGAGGTCAACAAAATAAATCAATAACAGAGCTAAGATGAAGATACAAAACTTCCCTTTGTTCAGAGCTCTTCCTTCTGAATAAAAATGTTTAGATAAGAATTCTAAAACTGGGGCTGGAGAGATAGCACAGTGGGTAGGGCATTTGCCTTGCACGTGGTCGAACTAGGTTCAATTTCCAGCATCCCATATGGTCCCCTGAGAACCTCCAGGAGTAATTTCTGACTGCATAAGCCAGGAGTAACCCCTGTGCATCACCGGGTGTGACCAAAAATGCAAAAAAAAATAGCAAAAAGAAATTAAAAACCAGGAACTTGTGGTCAGTGTGGCTCCACAGAGCAAGTTCAGAACTGATTTGACAGATGGTATGTTGTCCTTACAATGACTCAGGCTATTTTAGAATCATCAGCATTTTTGAAAGGGTGTAACATTTGGCAGAATTCACTTTTTCTGGGACCAGAAAGAAACTCCTCTTGGTAGGAATTGAAAACTCTCAATAAGGGAATAACAATGGAGGAAATTACTCACTGTCCTAATGTCTTAGGGAACTCACTGCAGGGACCTAAGGGGGTCTGGGTAGGAGCTGTTAATAAATCTATGAAAACCTTCATGATTCAATAACAAAAACAAAGCAACTCAACTGTTCTAAAGAGTAAGTCCTAATTATATGTCACGTTGATTTCCAAGTTACAAGAGGTTTCCATAAAATGTACTTCTAGTGGATAGTCTATGCAAACAAAATGGTTCTGAAACTTTTTCTTAGTTTTAAATGTATGTATATATAAGTGATTTCTTCTAGGTATTATACATTTTAAGCTTAAAAATTATTTTTCCTTTGATGTTTGGGCCACATCTGGCGGCGCACCCTACCTGCTGTACTGTCGTTCCAGCCCATTCTTCCATTTAGTATAAATTAAGCTACATTTAGTATAAATGTAGTATAAATTAAGCTACATAGCCTGGCAAGCTACCGAGAGTATCTCACCTGCATGGTAAAGCCTGGCAAGCTACCCGTGACCTACTTGATATGCCAAACACAATAACATGTTACTGGGCCCACTCGAGCAAATCAATGAACAACAGGAGGATAGTGACAGTGACATAGTATAAATTAAGTATAAGCTACTTAGTATAAATTCACTGTCACTGTCATTGTTCTCCCATTGTTCATCGATTTGCTCAAGTGGGCCCAGTAACATTGTGAGACTTGTTGTTACTCTGTTTGGCATATCAAATACATCATGGTAGCTTGCCAGGCATTGCTGTGCAGGTGAGATACTCTTGGTAGCTTGCTGGGCTCTCCGAGAGGGGCGGAAGAATTGAACTCAGGTTGACAGGGTCATCCGTGTGCAAGGCAAACACCCTACCCACTGTACTATCGCTCCAGAAAAACTTAGTATGAGGAGTTCTCCATTGATACCCAATGCCTTTCTGATTTTTATTTTGCAGGTGAAGGCCATAGAGCAGAGGTTTGAGCCACATTTGTCAGTGCTCAGAGTTACTCTTTTATTTGGGGGAGGGTGGTCGGTTGTCACACATGTCTCTGCACTCAGGAATTACTCCAGGAATTACTAAAGGGTTACTCCTGGCTCTGCACTCAGGAATTACTCCTGGTGGTATTCAAGGGGCCAAATGGGATACTGGGAGTCGAATCTGGGTCAGCCACATGCAAGACAAACGCCCTACTTACTGTACCATCGCTCCAACCTCAAAACTACAAAAGGCTCACTCCTGGTACCACATAATGAGGAAACTGTGACATCAGGAACCAAACAAGGATTAGCTACAAGAAAGGCAAGTGTCTTAACCCCAGCACTGCTTCTCAGGCCCCACGGTTCTGATTTTAATCTAGAGTTGGTCTAGACCCACCTTCTCCCCAGTCCATGTGAAATATGAGAGTGCTTTGCCATCATTCTTTGCTCTGCTCTGACAGATAAGCTTTCTAAACAGATGCCTCTCACTTCCTTTCTAAAGCACTTCAGTTCTCTCTACCGAGTTCCCAAAGTTCTACGGCAGGAAAAGAAAAAACTTCCCTTTTTCATTTCCAAACACAGTTTCCTCTTTTTTCCATTTTACAATTAATTCATGCTTGAATTAAAACTCACTATTAATAAAACACATCATATAAAAGAAATTCAAGTTGCCTACACCATGATTTTATTTCAGGAAACATGCATCTGGAATGGCCCATTAGATAGTTCCTCATTCATTGCAGAGTTTCATACAAAGAATATTTTCTTGACATGAAGCATATTAGAGAAATGCCTTCTAGAATTCAATATTAGAAAAGCTTAGTTTTGGTGCTAGAATGATAGCACAGCCACACAGCCAATAGAGTGTTTGCCTTGCACGCGGCTGACCTGGTTCCGATTCCCAGCATTCCATATGGTCCCCTGAGCACTGCCAGGAGTAATTCCTGAGCACATGAGAGAGGAGAAACCCCTGTGCATCACCAGGTGTGACTCAAAAAGCAAAAAAAAAAAAAACATAGGTTATCAAACACCCACCTCCTGTTTTATTCCTAATCAGTACTAATTTTGTGGCTAATTATATTGCAGAATTTTCCACATTGACCTCTTGATCAACTTAGAATTTGTCTGATTGGCCCTTTTATTTGTTCTATTTATTTATTGATAGCATGGACTGGAGCCATAGCACAGCGGGTAGGGTATTTACCTTGCATGCGGCCAACCCGGGTTCTATTCCTCCATCCCTCTCAGAGAGCCCAGCAAGCTACTGAGAGTATCCCACCCAGACAGCAGATCCTGGCAAGCTCCTCATGGCATATTCAATATGCCAAAAACAGTAATAAAAGTCTCACAATGGAAACGTTACTGGTGCCCTCTCGAGCAAATCAATGAACAACGGGAGGACAAGTGCTACAGTGCTATTTATTTATTAGTTAGGACACTGTATCTACTCTTCAAGTATTTAAGTTTATTATAACATACATATACACAATATAAACATACGTATGTGCATATTTCAAAATCACCTTAAGTCTTTTGCAGGATGGGGAAAGATGTAACTATTCAATGCATAAAGCAAGTTTTCTTATTAAACGTGTCCTTTATGCCAGCTGTGAACAGTTCAAGAAGAGCTGTAATCAGGGCACAGGGCTTGCTGTTCCAGTTCTCAGTTCTATCATTTATTCAACCGTGGGTAATTCTTTTGTTGTCTTTGGTCTTAATGGCACATCCATCACAGTATTAACATGTTTCCTCTGGACTCAGTAAAGAATACTCAGCAAAATTTCACAAAGAATACTCAGAAAAACTTCACAAAGACTACATTAAAGTGCTAGAACTAAAGTAAAAGTAGGGGGCAGAACTCTAGTACCGTGGGTTGGATGTTTGCCTTGCATGTAGCCGACCCTGGTTTGATCCCTGGTATCACATATGGTAACCCTGAGCACCTCCAGGAATGATTCCTGAGTGTAAAGTCAGCAGTAACCCCTGAGCATCACTGGGTGTGACCCCAAAAGAAAAAAAAGAAAGAAAAGACAATGTAGGCAATGTATCAAGTTTAAGATGTGTCATTCTAAAAATGACTGCATTAGTTTACCGCTTCTTCATTTCCCTAATGTTAAACTACTGGAATCAGTCACTCACCAGAATGCTGAATCTTGAAGACCCATCATTTTCATCACATCCTTCCTCTTTTTTCTCTCTTTTGTTATGTTGAGCGATAGAAAGTATGTCAATGGAGAGAAGTATAGCAAGCAATAGAAAATAAACATTTCATTTTGTAGAAAATCTTTCGATATAAAAGGCAATGTCTTCATATCTATAGCAGTAACAGACATCAACTGTTCCATCACAGAGTGATTTGTCAGGACCTAGGGAAGTGTTTAAACAAACCAAATCATTGAAGTAGAAAAACTGTCAAAATAGAAATACATTATGGACATCAGGCTAAAGTCAAATGCTTGGTTTTAAAATTGTTCTAAGGTTATGTAAGGTATTTCCATTAGGAGTAGTTGTTTTTATAGTTCCTGTCATTTAAAACCACTAGAAAATTTAAAGTTAAAAAAGGCAATGTCTTTTTTCCTGAGTCCAGTTTTAGCATTTGTAATATAAACATGTGAAAATTTAAGTCTATGCATTGTATTTCATCAATATATTGATGTCGCTGGAATTAGTTGACAATAACTATTCAAGCTGTATTTCAGAGACTATAAAATATAGCTCCCGGAACCACGCGGCTGTGACATCTTATCAAGACATCTTTTTATGACATCTTATTATCTCATTCCTACTTTGGACAAACTTGCAGGCTATCAAATGTAGCCTGCCCACAGGGCAGAGTCTGGCAAACTCCCCATGGCGTACCAAATATGCCAAATACCAGTAACAATGATGGGTCTCATTCTCCTAAAGAGCCGTGAATATAATCTCAGGGCTAGGATGAAAGAGACGTTACTGGGGCCTGCTCGAGGCAATCGACGAATAACAGGATGATGAATGAATGAATGAATGAATGGACTATTAAAACTTTTCTTACTTGTATAATAGCAGCATTGATTGCAGCTTGTAAAGGCACAAATCCTCTATTCCAGTATCTGTCCAGTAAACACATAAACTCTTGATTTGAATCCCAACAATGAGCTATAAATAGCAAACAACACATTACCAACTTTATGGGCTACAGGCCCTTAGAAAAAGGAAAACAAGAATCCAAGAAAAAACAATGTATAATTGGGTCCACCAGTCAGAACTTTAACCACATAGAAAAAAGAAGTCAGTGAAAGTTCTTTATAGGCTCATTTCACTCATGGACTGCACCCATGCCAAGAAAGCTTTCAAAGTTGAAAGCATACTATTCCAACCATACTGAAATTCTTGTTGTGCCTCAAAATGCCAAATGCAGTTTAATGCTGGAACTTCAGATGGAAGGGGGCTCAAATTTCATTTTAGTAGATTTACAGCTAATTTCTTCCCCATTCTTGATCTCTTCTCAAAAGATCACAGTTCACCTCCTCAAAAGATCACCTCTTCTTACAAATGTGTTTCCTGGCTGCCATCAATAAAAAATATCCAAACTTTCTTTCAGGAACTAATTTCCTAAAATTTTCAATAAATAGGTGAACCAGTACCTAAAAAAATGCACTGCTTCTCCCCACATTTATCCACCCCCTGGTCCTGATGAGAATGGTTCAAGCAAGCAGGCTCCAAATTTACTTTAATTCAGTTCCCAGAGTCCTCCACGGTGTAGACTGGGGCTTCTAAATCAATAATACATGAATGAATGAATAAGAATCGATTCTGTTAGTCACATCAGTTTAACTTCTTTAAAAAGTTCCTGGAAACCATTTACTTCCCTCCTTCTCAGCTTCCCTTGCTCTGGTCTAAACTACCATCAGCTCTCAAGGATTTCCTTGTGTCCTCCCTGATCCCTCTGAAATTTATTCTTTGGGCCATAACCAAAAGGTTTACTTAGGATCTCCTTACTTCTGTGACTCTGCATTGCCTGAACTTTATGAGTTGCCACTGGATCTAATCACTGAGTTACTTTGGAATCACTTTCCTGTCCCCTCCTTTTACAGACCCCTCCTCAGCTGCACTGCTTTTATTCTATATAGAAACCAGCACCTCCACACCTGTCCTTTTCTCCGAATTAAAAGTCATCCAGCACCTCACAAGTCCATTGTTTTCTTATGTTAATTTAAACACCTCCCTTTTACCTGGTAGAACTTTTGCAATTCCATTCCCAATTAGGAACCCCTGGTCTCTATCAAAATCCCTGCACTTGTAAGCTGTTCAGTGTCTGAGTTCTTAGGTGATCCTCACCTAAGTCTGACATTGATCAGACTTGGGAATCCTGTTGCAACTTCTGTCATTGGCACCTATCAGGTCCCTATGTGTCTGTTGGATGGGGGTGAAGGAGGGGGTCCTTTGAGAATCATCTTCTAACAGAACATACAATTAAACTCGAAAAGAGTTAAAACACTGAGAATGCCTTATCTGTTTTCTCACCAAAAGAACTTTTCTCTTTGCTGCCCCATCTACTCCTTACATTGAAAGCAAGAAAGTTGGGGCCTAGTGACTAAAACACTGGCCTCTCCAAGCACAAGCATCTGAGCTAAAGGAGTGAGAACCCCAGAGAGCACCAGGTATGAGTTTGTGAGTATGGATACCCAGTGTGTGACCCTGAAAAGTTCTACAGCTCAACATTTTAATACTATGGCCACGTATGTATGATATCACAGTCATCCTCAGTGGGAAGGGAGGGTAACAAGGAACAAGCAAACAAGAATATGCCATAAGGTATGTGATGGAAAGTACCTGAGAAAGCATCTTCCTTCAGGAACGGAATGGAAAACCCCTGAAAAAATGTTAAATTGTAAGAAAACATGTCATTGAAGATGATTCCTGCTGCGTATGGGAGATTATCATCAATTATTTCATTCAAATGTGTTCTGTTGGCTGCTCCAATGACTTTTTTGTCTGTGAATTGCAAAGAAAGGATAAATATTTGTTACAGAGATTCCCTCAAACTGAAAATGGTATCTGACTATGTCACTATAGATATTTCACTGTAGGTAAACTAAAATAATTTTACATTTAAAACGAGGAACAGGTTTTGTCTGAAGATTTTAGATTCTAGAATCAAAAATATTCATAAGAATTGTTTTCCTTTTAATAATGGCAAGTACTAGGGGCCGGAGAGATAGTACAGGAAAGACCAATCCCTGGTAGGTCTCCAAGTATTGCCAGTGGTCACTCCTAAGCACAGAGCCAGGAATATCCCCTGATATTCAAATGATTTGAATATCCCCTGGGTATGATTCAAATATTCCTCCCCCCAAAATAAACTTAAATATTGACAAGTATTAGACGCATAGGGTAAGTTCTAGGTATAAAATATTATACCAGGATAATTATGTTAAAGATAAGTAGGGGTATAAAAATAGAGGTATTGTCATAGCTACTCTATAGTCAGAGGAATTCAGATTTAAGATTTATTAAAGCAATGACACTTCTCAGGATGATCTTTGCTGTTACCAATGGTGCATAGCAACTTTGTTTCTAATGGGCAGGAATTAGGATGGTCAGGAATCAAAAATTAAGGACTAAGTCAAGAGATGTAGTTCAGCACTGGTGGAGGGATGGGTACTTGAACATTGTTTGACTGAAACGCAGTTATGAAAGTTTGTAAGTCTGTAACTATCTCATATGATTCATTAAAATAAAATTCTTAAAAATAGATGTAGTTCAATGGGAGAGCACAGATTTTGTATGATGCCTGGGGATCAGTTCCCCATACCTTCACTCCATAAAAACAACAAAAGACCAGGCCCATTGGTCAATGAGTAACAAACACTTTTGTTTACTTGGTCATGAAATGACCTCATGGAGAGTGTTGATATTTGAAGAGGTTTACAAAGTGGTTATAGAACTAACTCATCAACCAGGGTTGCAAGCTTTGCATGCATCAGGACTAAGTCCGGCTCAACATGCTCCTCAAGCACCTTGGGATGGCCTTGGTGGTTCTCGGATACCACATTCCGCTAAGCATTGACAATCCTAACCCAGCTGGCCTACCGTCACCAAGAGTGGCCACACAAGCACCACTTAGGAGACACCCTAAAACATTTACAAAGTACACCACACGCAGAACAAATGACCCGTCCTTAGTTTTTATATTTACCACTACCCAGTGTTGTTATAGAGATGTTTTTTAATCATTTCATTCCATTTTAAAAACACCCATATCTACCAAAGACTTCTTCCTCCTAGTCAATGGTTTACAGATCTGAAATTAGAAACCCACCATTTTACTTACATCCAAATAAAAATGGGAGATAACCCCCTAATGAACCACCACCCATTTGATGATGTTTGGAGTTTAAAAGGCTAATTTATTCAAAGGGTAGTGGGGAGAAATGAATGGAATTTGTATATTATCTTGATATACTGCTCGAGCGGGCCAGTAACGTCTCCATTGGAGACTTTGTTGTTACTGTGTTTGGCATATCGAGTACGTCATGGGGAGCTTGCCAGGCTCTCCCATGCGGGCGAGATACTCTCGGGTCAGCCATGTTGGCTGCGTGCAAGGCAAACACCCTAATGGGCCTCTTCAGATTAAACAGTGTACATTCTATAAATAAGATATAGCATAAGCAACTCTTTTCTTTTTCCATTCATATTCCTACCTGTCAAGAAGGGAGCGAAGACCGTTTGATTCATTATCTGCTGGGTTATGTCAGATATTGGTGTATAAACAACAACTAAAGAGCTATTAAATTGGTCTATTCTTCCCAGATCCTGAGGTGGCATTCCAGGAAAATGAATATTTTCTTTAAAATAAGAAAATAGGCCCAGATAGAGTCCTAGAAGTGCTGGAATCCCACATTCCTGTAACACAGAGGGGCAGGGAGAACACATTTACATTATACTTTGATTAGAATCCCTTAAAAAACCTGTCAAAACCAGAAAAAAAAACTGTTGACAACAAATTCCTTTTTTGCTACATCATTGGCTGCTTTTCCTTCTGCACTCTTCAGAACCAAGAGAAAGGATGAAAACTACAACTAGAGACATAGTGGTCACATCTGTAATTCTTAAATACCAGAATGTTGCATTCAGTGATGAACGATTCAGAGGCCTTAATGAACTTGTAGGAAAACTCAAGGGAGAAGTCTATCTACTGTATGGGTATCTAACTTGAGAATCTCTAAGACACAGAATTTCCTCAGTAGATGTAGGGTGGCCAGTAGCAACATCTTTGCCCATTGTCTTATCTTAATATTGAAAATCAAACTTGAGGAAAAGTAGCTGATGGCTGGAGAGTACCTAGTGGTTCACTGATAGTAGCAATTGCTTCTGGCTTGACACAAAGTTAAGTTTGCGCCCTCTGGAAATGAACAAGAATCAAGTGAGAGAGGGTTGAGAGTGGAATGTGGGCAGAATTGATGATGCATCACTCTCAGGCTGCCTCCTGGATTCATCAGTGTTCTCTCTGTCTTCCTATTTCCTAATCTTTGGACTGATCACTCAGGTCTTCAGGTACAGGAAGATGATTGAGGCGCTAGACAAAAAAAGCCTGACCCCTTGGGTGACAATGCAAAGATCCCTTCATTGCTCAACCCCCTTGAGCTCCATACCCAACTTCTATAAGTGCTTTGCTCAACCTCCTTAAGCTCCATATACAATTTCTATAAGTGCTTTGCCATATTTTACCATTGAAATTTGTGCTATTACCCACATGTCTATTGAGCACTAAGGATCAATGGTATTATTTAGCCATAATTCTTAAAAGTACTTTCTGGGTAGAAAATTGAAGATATTAAAAACAAGCGCCTCAAATTCTTTATTTGATTTTCTTGGTGTTTCTAGATTCTAAAAGTATTACATGTGGAACAGTTTGAATAGGTTCTATAATTTACTATCTAATCTATTTTCATTTCATTTAAGATGGGTAACACTTTTGGTCTTCAATTTTAGATTGTTTATCAGACTCTCCTATGCTTGCCTCAATTCAAAATAAATCAGTCCAGCCTGTTACTTAAATTCAGGAGAGTCAGTAAGCCTAGACTGGGAGTGACTAGGACTAAGAGCTCAAGCAGAGAGAATTTCCCACCGTACCAAGGCGCTCGTTCTTTTATTTCTCCATTTCTCAAGAAGAATCTTGCACAGAAGTGCTTGAGTTTGGTGATACACACTTTTCTGTTTCATATGCATTGTACCTGTTCATTAAACAAACAAGGAGAAAATTTTCACACTGAAACATAAACTATGAAAAGTTTGATAGAAAAGCAAGTGACATGAGAAATACTTGGGGAGGTGGTTAAGAGATGTTGTAGTGGGGAAGGCACTTGCCTTGCATGTGATCTACCCGAGTTCAATCCCCAGCTTCACCTATGGTTCCCTGACCTGCCAGGAGTGATCCTTGGCACAGAGGCAGGACAGAGCTTAGAGCACCACAGGGTGTGACCCACAAAAGGGAGTAAGGAGAAAACAAGAAAGCAAGCAATAAAGAATAAAGAGAGAGGTAAAGAGGGAAGGAAGGAAGGAAGGAAGGAAGGAAGGAAGGAAGGAAGGAAGGAAAAGACCTAGGAAAAAGAAAGGAAAAATCAAAAACAGGATGATATCTGGTGGGAAATAGTTCCTACCTTCACAAGCACAAAAAAAAACAAAAGTATATCATATATATGTTTATTTACACACATTATAAATACATGCTTAAAATGTTACTTTAGTAATTGATGATTTGAAATATGTTGCATCAAACATATTCACTGTACAACATTTGGAAAGAGGGTATAGTAAGGAATTAGGGGACAATTATCATTATTTTATAGTAACTATTACAAAGGAAAATATATCAATTCATATTCTGTAAAATATAATATTGATTTGTTGAGTTTGGGGGGGGGGGCTTGTTACTTGGGGTCATACCTAGCAGTGCGTATTCCTGACTCTGTTCAGGAATCACTCCTAGCAGAACTTAAAGACCATATGTGGTGAGGGAACAAAACCCAGGTTGGCTGTGTGCAAAGAAATAAGTGATTTACTGGCTGTGTACTATCTCTCTGGTCTCAGAAAGTGATTACTTTGATATTTGATAATATAAGTTCAAATATATAGAGTAATTGAATTATATCTCATCTGATATTGATCATTTCTTGGCTTCTTGCATTTAAATACAAATCCCACAGCAGAATAAAATTAATATCAAAATGTTGATCAGGGTCAGAGAGATAGTTCAATGGGTTGCTCATATGCGTTGCATATGGGAGGCCCAGGTTCAATCCCCAGCATCACATGGTCTCTTAAGCACCAGTAATCCCTGGGCACAGAGCCAGGACTCATCCTGAGCTCTAGCCAGGGTGACCCAAAACAAAACCAAAAAATTTTGATGAGTTGAACCTGTAATAACAATTAATTATGTCCACTAGATGAAAGCATAACAAAATACTTTCTTTCAGCATTTATCTACTAAATTGAATGAACAATATAACTGAAAAAGAATGAGTCTGAAATAACAATCAAGACTTGAATGATTTGGAAGTGTCTCCATGAAACAGAAAAAATAAAATAATAAATCTTAATTTTCTGAATTCAGAAGTCCTGATATATGCAAGGAAGCAAGCTACAAAGTAAATTTAAAAGATATCACACGGGAAAGAAAATTTTCCCAAATGTTTTCAAATAAGCAGAGATCAATTCTGTTTTTATATTCTCAAAAGTTATTTTAGATTTACATAGCAAAATATTCATATACTTTTCCTTCAGCTAATACCAAAGCTTTTCACTAGTTTTCTATATGCTACTGATGCATACACACAAAAAAAAACGTTGGTTGGAAAAAATAGAAAACTTCCATCCTTAGATCTTTAGGAAACACGTAAGTATTCACATTTGAAAGGTAGATTGATTTAGCTATGTCCACCCACACTTTTATATAACACAAAAAAACAGAGATATACTTACTGTCAGGAAAATTTGAAACAAAGGAGTCTTCTGAAAATACTGTCAAAGACAGCTCTCTGTGTCTAAGGCAGCGATGAAAATAATGTTATTGCCACTTCTTCATTTTTCCTTAAAGCCTGCTTACTCCCAGCAGCTCTGCCCCAGGCTGGTTTCTGAAAAGGGAGTAGTCAGACTCCACTGCACATGATCAACTGTTTGTGTGTGTGTGTGTGTGTGTGTGTGCGTGTGTGTGTGTGTGTGTGTGTTTCACCCCTGTATTTTTCTCCCTAAGCCAATTATTCTGCAAGAATAGGACTGCTCCGTGGTTGGTTGAGAATAAAACAAACTCTGTGTTTGTGCATTTGGGTTTTCATCCTCTGGGATAAGGGCAAAATGGTAAACAAAGAAGTTAGAGCAAGTTTGTGGACATGATGAGACCAAGATGGGGAAAGAGTCAGAACAAATTCTGGTGAAGCCCAGCATGCAAAGTGTCTGAAAAAATTTGAGTTATTTATTTTTTTTTTATTTCCCCACCAGTGACTTCTAAACACAACTGCCAATTTGTCTCATTTACACTCAATGAGGGAAAAGTGTTGAAGCAGAACTTTATTTTCCTTTTTAATCTAATGAAACTAAGTAATTCATAGTATTATTGGAAGAAACACCTCAGCTGAGCATATGAAGGTTTACTAAAACGTTCTTCTGTTCTATTCATAGCAGATGCTGAATTACGTAAGGCATGTGGATGCAATAAAAATGATTGCTAAGGTCTAAGTGACTTATAAAATGATTAGGGTCAATATTTTTGCGTGAAAACTAGGATAAAACTTTATTTAATGTCCGTTGCATAGTCTCTTTCTTTATCGTTCTCTCTGTCTCTCACTCTCTATCTTTCTTTCCCTCACTTTTTCTCTCTCTTTGCAAACTTTTCTTGACCTGCCAAAGTAAATGGCAAAACAGAAAACCAAAGTCCATGAATTGGGAAATCGCAAATATTTGACATGGCTCCCAAGTCACAGATGTTAGTAATCATAAAACTGGGGTAATTTCTGAAAAAAGGGGGGGAATAATATTTTTTAAGAAACCTAAGTTTAAGCATTGAGATTACGTATGTAATTTCCTCTTTAATTAATTCTATTTTAATTTAAAGTCAACAGTAAAATATCTATCTCTTCTACATTAAGAATTGGCAAAAACAGATTTCATAAAGATGTTCTAAAGATTTCTTAGGGAAGTGTAAGAGGTCAGACACAGTTACAATTTTGCATCAATCATAGGTCAATGATCCAAACAAAAATTCTATGCTTCTTCAAAATGTCCTGAAATAGAGTTCAGGTTTTCAATAATTTTGTTGTTGTTTTTAACTCAACAAATTCTGTTAGAAATCATTTTTACATTTCTCTCAAACAATGAACAATTATTGACAATTGTAGTAGCAATACTTAATATGGTACTAGTTTCACTTTTATCATTGTTTTTCTTAGATGGTTTCTGTTCTTCTTTATAAACTTATTTTTTCTGATATATTTTCCCCGAATGATATTTTCTCTTTATTTTGAGCACCACTCATGTGCAGGGTATTCCTCCAGCTTTTATGCCTAGGGCTCATTCTCATCAGTGCTCAGTGGACGTGAAGTTCAGGGAATCGAACCTGTGACTCTCACATTCAAAGCCTGTGCTCCAGCTGACTGAACTATGTCTCTGACCCGGAACCACTTTTCTTATACAAACCTGAGGGTTTCCCACAAATGCTTAGCTAATAAGATTAGAAAATAGCCACCCTCCAGGTAGCAACAGATTAAGAACTATATAATAAGAATGTCAGATACATAACCACAAGGGGCATGATAAAACATTTTAAAAAATTCAGAAGCAATACACGCAACAAAGAGAAAGGAAAACAATTCACGAGTGTTAAAAATTTAAAGGGAAATTAAAGTCAAAACTGTGAGTTACATCCAAACTTTATGTTATTAAATCCAATAGTTCAAAGAGTTGGCTTCATAGCCTTGGGTTTGGTCTTAATCCTTGGTAGTTATGAACCTAATCTTTGTATCTCTTCATCAATCCAGAAACTTCATAGGATTTATCAGTGCTAGGTATAGAGCCTAGGAACAAAAACAACAACAGACTGTACTATGTCAAGGCAGTATAAAGTATTCTTTGCTCAGTTTCTGACTTAATGCAAATTATTTCTTCCATGAAAATGAAAAAACCTAAGCATATGCATCACATATCAGATTATGTCCATGAAAACGAAAAAATAAAAAAAAACCCTAAGCATATGTGACACATCACAGGACCCAATTTAGGACATGAATGCAGCAGAGACTGCTTATTGGGGGCTGGTTTGACAGTCAGGTTCACCATCTTGAACCCCAAGTTGGGGTTATCCCTACCCATGAAGCTATGCTTTGTGGCCACACATTTCTTTATCTCTCTAAAACTCACGTGAGCAAACAAAGATATCCTAACCGTGGTCACATAGTCACACGAAAACACACAAGAAGCAACTCCAAATTGCAAACATCACAAAGGGAAAGCAATGCAGAACTCCACCAGGTTTACTGAATGAGGATGGTAGACCTGATGACCTGACCAGTAATAACAAACTCTACACCCACTCTGGTATGGAATTTAGAGAGGGAATGTTGAGGATGTTTAAGGAGCTCAAAGGAACAATGGAATGAACCGGCAATAAAACACAAAAGGATACAAGAGCAGAAATGAGGAAACTACAAAAAGAAATGACATAACTGAGAAATTTGGTAGGTGGAATGAAAAGCTCACTAAAAGGCCTCAGAGCAGAGTAATAGCCACTGATAGAATCAGTGAGCTCCAAGATGAGGTGCAGAAAACGTCCATGCAACAGCAGAAGATGGTGGGAGAATGCCTCAAAACAATAAACAAATGACAAAAGGACTTTGGAATGAACTCAAGAGGAACAATATAAGAATCATCAGGATCCCAGAGGTCCAGGAAGGCAACCCTGAAGAAGCAACAGTCAAAAACAATATTGCTGAGAAGTTCCCAGAGTTGACAAGGTGCATGTACCCAGATCCAGGGGGCTTGAAGAGTACCAGCTAAAAGAAATCCAATTAAAAATACTCCAGGCTGCATCCTAATCAGAATGAAGACTGAAAGCAGCAAGATCAAAGAAGAAAATTATATACAAAGGAGTGTTCTTAAGACTTACTACAGATTTATCAAATAAAACCTTCTGGGCCTGAAGACAGTAGTAATATATAGTGGGGGGGATAACTCAATGAAATGAATGCCTCACCAAGAATACTTTGCCCAGATAGAATCTCTCTCTTTCAGATTTGAAGGAACAATACACAATCTAACAGAGAAACAACAACTCAGGAACTTCATAGATTAATGAACCATCTTTACAAGAAGAACCAAAGAGGTTATGTATGTGGAATACCACATTTCTGTTGTAAGATGGCACAAAACTTCATGACAACAATCTCTCTCTCTCAATGCCAATGGGCTAAATGCACCATTTAAGAGACAGAATGGTAGGATGGTTTAGAAAATGGAGCCCAATATTCTGCTGCCTGCAAGAAACACATTGGAATGGTCAGAGCATACACAGACTGAAAGCTAAAGTTTGAAAGACTGGTTTTCAAGCAAACAAACCCCTCAAAAGACTGGGGTTACCAAATTACTATTACCAGACAACATAGACTTCAGGCTGAAAAAGTTATGTGACAGCAAAGTTCATTTCTTTGTGATCAAGGGAAGAACTCACACTCCTAAATGTATATGCACCAAATGAGAGACCACAAAAATACTTAAAACAGCTGCTAATAGACTTGAAAAAGACATTAAAAGCAACACAATAGTAGTTGGAGACTTCAATACTATTCTGTCACCTCTTGATAGATAAACTAGACTAAACCCCAGTAAGGAAATACTTGCTTTGAAGGAAGAAATGGAACACAGGCATTTATTAGATATAGATACAATTTTTCACCCTCAAAAAAACAAATACAATTCTCCAATGCACATTAGGCATAATCCAAGATAGATTACATGCTGGAACACCATCAAATCAGATAAAATAATAATGAAAATATAGAGAATAATACAAGGCATAACCAGGATGATTACTCCATAACTTAGAGGTCAGCCGGGTATCCTAGAAGAAAGGGCAGTTCAGATGGAGAAGGGAGCACCAAGTGGGGGATGTTTGGAGGATCCTCCCAGGAGGGGAGATGCGTGTTGAGGGTGGACTGTGGACTGAACATGTTTGCCACTCAATGCCTCTTTTGCAGACCACGGCACCCAAACGGAGAGAGAGAACACAGGGGATTGCCCTGCCACGGAGGCGGGGGGGGGGGGGATGAGGGGATGGGGGTGGGAGGGATATTATCCATGGTGGTGAAAAACGGGCACTGGTGGAGGGATGGGTTTCTGGTCATTGTATGATTGAGGCCCAAGCACAGAAAGTTGTGAATCTACAACTGTAAAAAAAAAATAATAAAAAAAATGAGGAAAAAAAAAAAGAAAGTTTGTAAGTTTGTAACTGTACCTTGTCGTGATTCACTGAAAAAATTAAAAATGAAATAAATAAAAGAAATAAAAGAAAAGAAAATAGAAAAAATAAAAATAAAAAAAATACAAGGCATATTCAAAGATAAAAAGGATAAGAATTTTACAAAATTGAAGAAATGAGACAAAACTTAGAAAAGCAATATGTCCTCCTCAAAGTTAAAAACAAATAAAAATTCAACAATGAACAAATTTGCAGTGAGTATTCAAAGCATAAGAGAAAAATGAAATATTTGAAAACAAAGTAAAAAAGAAGGAACTATCAACTAAGAAGTGATACAAGTTGAAAGATGTCATAAGACAGAGGAATTACACCCTCAAAATGCTGAAAAGAATGAATTGTCAACCTCACATTCCATACCTAGCTAAGTTTGTATGAAACAAATTAATCACAATCACGATCATCCTGTTGTTTGTCAATTGCCTCGAGCAGGCACCAGTAATGTCTCCTTCACCCTAGCCCTGAGATTTTAAAAAGTGCCATATTCAAGGCTCTTTCAGGGTTAGGAGAATGAGACCCATCATTGTTACTGGTAGTTGGCATGTTGGGTACACTACGGGGAGTTTGCCAGACTCTGCCGTGTGGGCCTGTTACATTCGGTAGCCTGCCAGGTTGTCCAAAGTAAGAATGAGAAAATAAGATGTCGCGCAGCCGCAAATGTGGCCG